GCACCGCCACCCACTGCAGCAACAACAGCTGCTGCACCCCCATCTGCTGCACGAACAGCTGGTGCAGGAGGTGGGGCAGCAGCAGCAGCAGCAGCAGCAGCAGCAGCAGCAGTGGCGGAAGCAGCCGTGGGAGGGGTGGCGAGGGGGGAGGGAGGGGAGATTCATGTGTTGAAGTATGTGGGAGGGTCAGAGGCGGAGCTGGAGGCCATATGGGATAGGGAGATGCTGCCTGCTGACAGTGCTGCTGCATGCGCTGCTGCTGGCGCTGCTGCCAGTGCTGCTGCTAGTGCGAGTGCCTGTGCTCAGCCTGGCAGTGGTGCTGCTGACACGCCAGGGGCACCAGCGGAATCAGGCATTGTGGTCCAGCCTCAAGTGGTTGTCACCACAGCAGCGATCTTCGTGCATGTAAGCTGCTCTCTCTGCAGGCAAGGTGATTCATGAGTCGACTGGAACATGCGCTGCTGCTTCCCTCCCCCTCGCCCTCCACCCCTTCTCCCCCTCCTCCACCCTGTGAGCCCTTGCCGTGTCTGCTCGCTTGTCCGTTTCAATCCAAAACTCAGTCTTTTTGTGCAAGCTGATTCTCCCTTGAGACGCTTTCACTTGAAGGCCAAAACGTGACGACTAACTCTGAACCGTTGGATTTGAACCGTGCGCGGCCCGGATGTGCAGGCGGCAGGTTGGCTCTCCCAGGTGCAATGGGAAGCTGTGCTCGTGGAAATTCCACCACCGGGTGTCCTTGTAGACTATGACACGTGGCAGTCCGTGATTGGCTGCTTTCAGGCAAATTCCCAGCATGCTGAGGTGGCGCCGTGTCACCAGCTACTATGTGCTCCTCCGCCCCTCTCTCTGCATACTCGCCTGCTCGTGTGTGCTTCTGCTAGAGGGTCAGAGCAGTGGAGTCAGGAGAGAGAACAGCAGAGTGGGCGGCAGAGGCACGGGAGTGCAGTGCGCGCATGGGACAGACTCTGTGGGGCTGCTGCCGCTGTTGTGGCCGCAGAGGCAGCACGGGAGGAGGCAAAGGCAGTGGGGGGAGGAAATAGTGACGATGAGGAAGGGGAGGATGAGGAAGGGGAGGATGAGGGGGTAGCAGCAAGGGCAGCAGCAGGCAGAGTAGGAGGGGATGCAGGAGCAGGGGCGCGAGTAGCAGCAGCAGCAGAGATGTGCGCAGCTGTTGCTGCAGCAGCGGTGCGGGCTGCAGCAGCCGTGTGGTCAGGAAGGGGGCCGGAGGGGGCGGAGCGGGTGGAGGGGACAGAGGGGAGGAAGGAGGGATGGGGCAGTGATGGTGGTGAGGGTGGTGACTTTGGCTGGGGCAGTAGTGTTGGCAGGCAATGGCATGTGCTGGATGTGGGGTTGACCCTGGGGCGGGATGGGGATGGCAGAGAGTGTGGAGGCGATGGTGGGGGACGAGAGTGGGGAGAGGAGGAGGGGCGAGAAGAAAGGGAATGGGAGGAAGGGAGGGATTGGGTGGAGAGGAGAAGGGAGAGGGGGGGAGGGAGGGAGGGTGGTGGGGGGCCTGGTGGGTCATTTGTGGCAGCTTGGGGAGCCGAGCGAGAGGGGAGGCAGGGGGCTTTAAGAAGAACGTGGGCTGTGAGGGGCAGGGCGGTGAGGGAGATCTGGTGGCCTGCCAGTCTCACTCCCCACCAGCGCGCACTCTACAGGTACCCCATCGTGTTGCACATGGTTGTTTGCTTGCAATCCCTGAATGAAAATCACCATCCTTGTCTCCCTCCGTCTCGCACTCTACTCTTCAGTTAGGCTTCCATCCAGCAACGTCAATACATCTGTGTATCCATCTCCATCTCGCTTCCTCCTTGCACCGCCTGCTCAATCACTCCACTTGTATCCCGCACCCCCTTCTTGCATCCCCACGCACACCCTGTCCTGTCGCTTCAACACAGGGCGACGATGCGAGAGCTGAAGCGAGCAGCGAGAGTGCAAGCCCAGCCCGGGACGGCTGCACTGCCTGCAGCAGCGTTCACTGCTCTCCGAAGGAGACTGCTGCAGTGCTGCCACCACGCCCAGCTTCTCTCACCTGCTCCACGCCCTGGCCACCCGGCTGTTAGCGCTCCCAGGCCCCCTGCTCCTCCTGCCGCTTCTGCTGGCTCAGCTGGAAATGCCGCCGCCACTGCCACCGCTGCTGCTGCTGCTGAACCTGCTGCTGCCACTCCTGATCCTGCTGCTGCTCCTATGCCTGCTTCTGCCAGTGATACTGCAGCAGCAGCAGCAGCAGAGGAGGCAAGGCGTAGCAGCGCAGATGGCATGCAGAGCAGTGGGAAGCTAAGGCTGCTGAGCGCAATGCTAGCGTGTCTCCAGCAGAAAGGGAAGACCGTTCTGCTGCTTGCACATGTGAGTGAGTGGGTCCTTTGTCGCTTGTGCCTCACATGAACAATCACTCACATGCTCCATGTGGCAGCAAATGCCAGTCTTGCCTCACACTCAGAGTTGAGTGCACGCAAAGGCAGGCACTACCGCCCTCCCTGTCTGCTGTCCCTCAGCTGAACTTCAACACTTGAGCCCACATCCCTGCACGTCCCCTCCCACCTCTTTTAATATGTTATTGCGCAGAGTGCGCAAGTGAGGGAAGCGCTAGCCAGCATGCTCGCTCAGCAGTGGGGCGGCAGTGGGAGTGCGTTCCTCCGCCTGCACTCGTCCGACTCCCCTGCTGCCTGCTCCCACACGCTCGCCCAGGTGGTGCGAGGGGCTTCAGGCGAGCAGGGGTGCAGTGTGGTGCGGGGAGGGCAAGGGGAGGTTCTGTTTGGCAGAGCAAGGGGCGTGCGTGGTGGGAGAGGGGGTCGGGTGGCAGGAGGTTGTGGGGGAGGAGGAGGTGGGGGAGGGGTGGGTGGGAGAGGAGTGGGTGGGGGAGGAGTGGGCCGGAGAACATTTGGTGGGGGGGCAGCGAGTTTTGGCAGCAGGAGACAGAGGGAGGCCGTGAGGAGGGGAAGACGAGGGGAAGAGGAGCGGCGAGTGAGGAGAGAGGGTGGAGGAAACGGTGGAGGAGGGAGAAGGAACGGCAGAAGGGCGGTGAGGATTAAGCTGACTTGTGGCAGGGTGGTGGGTCGAGGGAGAAATGGTGGAACGGGTAGGGATAGGCGTGGGGAAACGGATAGGCGAAGGAGAAGGGAGAGGTGCAGAGGAAGAGGTGAGGAAGAGAGGCGATTTGGAAGTGGTGCAAGTGAGATGGGTTGTGGTAGGGATAGGCAGCAGGTCAGGAGTAGGCAGTACGGCAGGGGTAACCAGCATGGCAGGTGCATGGCGGGCAGGGGGGACACGCTGGTGGAGGAACGAGAGTGTGAAGGTGAGGAGCGTGGGGAGGAGGTGAGGGGGCAGGGACGGGGAGGGGAGAGTGAGGTGGGAGTGCGGGTGAAGCAGGAGGAGGTGGAGGAGGAGGTGGAGATGGGGGTGGAGGAGGAGGAGGAGGAGGAGGAGGAGGAGGAGGAGGAGGAGGAGGAGGAGGAGGAGGAGGAGGAGGAGGAGGAGGAGGAGGAGGAGGAGGAGGAGGAGGAGGAGGAGGAGGAGGAAGAGGAGGAGGAGGAGGAGGAGGAGGAGGAATACTCAGTGGTGCAAGTGCCGGTGTGGATGGAGCATGAGGTGGAGGAGGATGTTGAATCGGTGGAGGGGGGTGGTGAGTCGGTGGAGAGGGGTGGTGAGTCAATGGATGGGGGTGGTGAATCGGGGAAGGGGCTAGTGAGGGGGGAGGGCAGTGGCGAGGCGCTGAGAAGAGTGAAAGAGGAGCAGACGGAGGAAGGGTTTGAGGAGGGAAGTATGTGGCAGGCGCAGCACACGAAAGAGGGGGAGGAGGTTGCGGAAGAGGTTGAGGATGGGGAGGGGGAGGGGAAAGAGCAGGAGAGAGATGAAGAGGCAGGGGTGGAAGAGCAATGGCAGGCGCGAGTGGAGAGAGGGTGGGAGCAAGGGGCGCGTGGTGGAGGACCAGAGAAAGATGGGAAGGAGAAAGAGGGGGAAGAGGAACAGCACGGAGAGCAGCAGGGAGAGCAGCAGGGAGAGCAGCAGGGAGAGCAGCAGGGAGGGCAGCAGGGAGAGCAGCAGGGAGCAGTAGCATGCAGAGAGCGTCCGTTTGTGGTGCTAGCGCCAGCAGCAGTGGTCTCGATGGCCGTGGGTCTGGATTCTATAGACGCGGTTATACTCGTGGATGACTCAGCAACTCCTGCGTTAACTACACAGGTCAGTGGGGAGTGTGAGGAGAGGGTGTGGGAGTGCACGAGAGCGTGGACGTGGGTTCGGGTGTGGGTGTGGGCGCGTGCGATGTACCCACAACGCCGCCCCCCCCCCTCTCAGAAAGTGTCATCCCTTTCACTTGATGCTCAACTCCCCACGACTGACAGCATCAAGAATAGGCATGACCCCTCTGCTGCACCTCATCCTCACGCTTCTTCCCCCGCCTGTCGCCCTCCTCGCCTTTGTTCTCCCCACTCCTCTCAACTCCCCCGCCCGTCTTCTCCCCCTACCCCTCGGCCCTACCCTGCCGTGCAGCGCCTGCTCGCCTCCCTGCTCTTCCACCGAGACACCTGCTCCACCGCTCCCAGCCCCTCTCCACAGCAGCAGGGCTGCAGCGTACCGCCTCTCACCGTGCTGCGCCTCTACTGCCCTGCAACTGAGGAGCAGCGGCTGCTGGAAAGCGCCTGGCATGGCGCAGCGAGGGGCTTTGACTGGACTCAAGACTCTGAAGAGCAGCGTGTGCTGCAGGGCTACAGGCATGGCGCAGGGAGGGGTCTGGGGGGATCCGTGGGGGGATTTGCTGGTGGGGTGGGGGCGAAGGTAGGGGAGGAGAGAAGAGAGGAGCGAGAGGAGAGTAGGGGAGAGGTGAGAGGCGTAGGGGTGGAGGTAGGCGAAGGGGTCCGTGGAGAAGGGGAGGAGATGCAGTGGGAGGCGAGGAGAGGAGTGAAGAGGCGTGCTGGTGGGAGGGAGGGGGAGTGGGAGAGGGACGAGGAGCACGGGGAGGAGGAGGAGGAGGAGGAGCCAAGGAAGGGGAAGGAAGGCAAGCAGGGGCGGAAGAGGCGAAGAGTGGACTGCTGTGCTGGTTCTATGGAGGAAGGAGGTGAGGAGGAACGGGGTGACGGCGTTGCGGGGAGAGGGGACGTGAGGCAGGAGGAAAGGGGGGGAGGGAGTGCTAATGGGAAGGGAGTTGGCGAGGAGGAGGCAGGAGAGGGGCATAGGATGGAGTGCAGGGGGAAGGGGTGGGGCAGCGGGGAAGGTGCTGTAGGTGTCAGGCAGCAGTTGATGGAGATTCTTTTATACTGGGCGGCGAACAAGCGGAGTGTGAAAGAATGGGCGGGGAACAGTGCCCTGCATTCTGAGCCCGTCACGTCTGTGGCTTTGGATCGGGTTCTGGCTTGGCCCGGACCTGCAGGTCCGGTTGTTTCCGTGCCTGTGAGAGGTGTTTTGTCTATGAGGGATTTGGAGGCTGTTGCAGGGGAGGTAAGAGGGGAAGATGGAGTGGGAGGGAGAGAAGAGGAGTTAAGAGGAGAGGGACTTGGGGAGGAGGGGCATGGAATGGGAGCGGAGGAGGAGGGGCATGGGATGGGAGCGGAGGAGGAGGGGCATGGGATGGGAGCGGAGGAGGAGGGGCATGGGATGGGAGCGGAGGAGGAGGGGCATGGGATGGGAGCGGAGGAGGAAGGGCATGGGCTTGGAGGAGAGGAGTGTAGAATTGGAGGGGAGGAGGAGGAGTGTAGGATTGATGGGGAGGAGGAGGAGGATAGGGTTGGAGGGGAGGAGGAGAAGCATAGTATTGGAAGGGAGGAGGAGGAGCATACAATGGGAGGGGAGGAGGAGGAGCATACGATTGAAAGGGAGGAGGAGGAGCAGAGGTTGGACGGAGGGAAGCAAAGGCGTGAGGCCGGGCAGGAGGTGGGAAGTGAGAAGATAAGGGTGGAATGGAGAGACTATGGGCATGGGCTGGAAGAGACAGGCAGAGAGGAAGAGGTGGCAGCGGAGGAGAGACGAGATGGGATGGAAGGAATGGTGGGAGGAAGAGGAGGGGAGGGAGTGCAACTGAGGGATAATGCAGGCGAGAGGTTGGGAGTGGAGAATGGGGCGACAGGGAAGGCAGAAGGAGAGGCCGCGGCCATGGCAGATGGAGGAGGGCAGGGCGAAGAGAGCAGGGCGGGTAGAGAGGGCGGGGAGGGCAGGGAGGGCGGAGAGGAGCGAGAGAGTGAGGCTAATGGAGCGGATGGCGGTTGTGCGCGGTGTAGAGGGGTGAGAATTAATGTGAGAAGCAGTGACGGTAGCACTTTGATAAGTGATGAATGCAGCGCACGGACTAGTGGTGTGTGGCGGTCGATTGAGATTGTACAGGGCGGCATTGCTGCTGCTGTGGCTGAGGCCAGGAGGCTAGTGGGTGAGAGAGGGGGGGAGCTGGGCAGGCAAGGAGACCAGGGAGTGACAGGGACGAGGGGAGAGGGGGAGCGAGAAGGTGGAGGCATGGTGGGGGACGCAGGGGGGGAAAGGGGAGCAGGAGAAGGGATGGCGAGGCTGGCTGGAGCAGATGGGGAGGGAGGAGTGGGGAGGGAGGGAGGAGTGGGAAGGGAGGGAGGAGTGGGAAAAGAGGGAGAAGTGGGAAGGCAGGGCGGAATGGGAAGGGAGGGAGGAGCGGTCGATGGGGCACAGAGGCTAGGCAAGGGTGGCGAGGAGGGGAGTGAGGAGATGGAGGAGGGGGAGTGGCATGAGGAGGACAAGGTGAGAAGTGACGCAAGTGGTCGCGATGATGGGCATCCCTCGGAGCAGCACAGGGCCCATGAGGAGGGAAGGGGCCTGGCAACGTGTGAGCAGGAGGAGCAAGACTCACACCAGCAGCAGCGAGAATTACAGCAGCAGCAGCAGCAGCAGCAGCAGCAGCATGAGCAACAGGATGGGCGGAATGAGCCTTGTGAACAGGCAGGGCATGAGCATCGAGACAGCTCTCTGCGCCGCTCTCACTCATCCCCGTCCCGCCACTCCCGCAATCCACCCTCCACTCTCTCACGCTCCTTCTCCCACCTCCACCCACCATTCCCCCCCACCCATCCGCCAGTCCACGCCCCCCTCCCTCTCGCACCCCTCAGCCCGAATTTCCGCGCTAGCAGGCAGCAGGGATCAAGGGACGGAGCAGGTCGGACTCTTGACCCAAGGGGCGTTGGGCCCCATGGATTGCTCCCCACGCCCCTCGCTGCACTGCCCACCCCCCATGCCTCACATGTGTACAGAACTCATGAGGAATTTGAACGGGCCCATGCATTGTCTGCCCAGGGGCCCAGTCATCTCCATCATCCCCATGGGTTTCCGTCCCTCCCTCCGCCTGTGTTCGTATCCCTCCCACACCCCCGTGGTTTCCAGCTGCCCAGTCAGCACCGCCCACATCTGCCAAGTCAGCATGGCCCACATCCACCCAGTCAGCATGGTCCGCTTACCCTTATACCACGTCATCATCCGCCTGGCTTTCCTATGCTTTTCCACGCCAACCATCCCCCCACCTTTTTCCTCGCACGCCCTCCAAACGCCCACCCCCATTATCCTCACACTGCTGCTCCCAACCACACTCCTACGCCTCCTCCCACTCCCCGCAACCACCCCCAATCTCCTACCACCTCCCGCGTCCCTCCCAACTCCCCTTCGAACGCACCTTCCAGCCCTCACCAACCACGTGCCTCCACCCCCCATCCGCCCCTGCCCCTGCCATTTTCCCCCTCCAAGAAGGCTCGTGTGTCGACCCAGAAGTCCAATTCCCCTTCCAGCAGTCCCCACACACGTCCTCCCCCACCCAATGCACACCCAGCCCGGTCACTCCCCCCAGCTAGCCACCCTCCAAGCCCACCAGCACTGCCTCAAAACGGCCACCACCCAATCAGTGCCCCACACCGCCCTGACTTACCACCTGAACGCCGTTCTCCACCTGTTTTTTCACCTGAGCGTGCGCCTGAATGGTGCCATGGGCCCCCTGGAGCTGGTATCAGTGATCGCTCTCAGGTGAATTCTCAGGTGAGGTTCCGTGGCGACCAAGCGGGCTCGTGTGATCTAGATACTCCGAGGTGGCAGGAGGATCTGCCACGTGGCTCAACAAAAGAAGGGAGATGTGGCGTGGTGAGTGCTGAGGCGCATGAGTGGGAGGATGACGTGGCAGATTACATGTCACCGAAAGAAAAGACACGTGGAAAGCTGGGAGATGAGGCAGGCACCAAAGGGGATGACGTAGCGAAGCAGGTGCCAGCTGGCCTATCGAATGCAGTGACATGTGGAACGGAAAGCAGGGGAATACGTGGTGAAGGAAGGGATGAGGTGACAGGCCAGGTGCCAGCGAGCATCCCACGTGGCAGAGAGGGGCACGAACAGCCCCTTAGCCAGGTGGCAGCAAGCAGTCCACGTGGCAGGGAGGAACCTGAAGCAACGCCATCCCCTGACGGAGGGTCAAAGGGGGGGGTACCAGGGAGAACGAGAGGGAGAGCTGTGCGACGGGGGTGTGGAGTGGTGCGGGGAGGTGTGCTGGTGAGAGTGGGAAGAGGGAGGGGGGTAGGAGGGCGAGGGATTGGAGGAACGCGGGTGGGAGGAAGTAAGGAGGGGCCCAAGAATGGGCAGATAAAAGCCCGGGGAGAGGAAGAGGGAGCGGGGATGGCAGGAGAGGGAGGTAAAGGGGGGGATGGTCATGGGCAGCTGTTGCGTGCAGAGTTTGATGCAGCTGTTGCAGCTGCTGCTGCTGTTGTGGCTGCTGCAACTGCATCTGCTTCTGGGGCTGCTGGGGTGACCAAGCGGCGTGGGGATGGTGCAGATGGTGCGATGCGAGAGATGCCGTGTGGGAGGGCTGCAGTGGAGAGGAGTGCGGGGAGGTCTGTGCTGGGCAAGCGATCACGGCGCGAGGCTGGCTTGAACGGGCTGGAGGAAGGCATGGGAGGGGAGAAGGTAGGCGTGGAGAGGCAGGCGCAGGAGGATGGGGCGATGCCGAAAGAGGGGCTTGGAGGAGAGGCGGGGCGGGTTGCAGCAGGGGGGAGGCTGGTGGGCGTGCACGTGATATCAGCGAAAGGCAGTCAGGAGGCGGCAAAGCCAAGGAACAGGCAGAAGGAGGGTGGTGAAGGAGAGGTGGGGGCGGTTAACAATGTGGGGATATCAATGGATGTGGCGGATCAGGTGATTACAACGGGGGAGAAGCTGGTGGGCGTGGATGTGATTGCAGGGAAAAGCGGTCAGGCGATGGTGGAGGTAAGGGACAGCCAGAGCGAGCGTGGCGAAGGGGAGGTGATATCAGTGGGAGGAAGCGGTCAGGCGGCGGTAGAGCTAAGGGATGGGCAGACGGAGGGTGGTGAAGGCGAGGTGGCTGGAGACGGGCAGGCGATTGAAGGGCGGATGGAGGAGAAGGGAAGGGCGGGGGAGGCGAGAGAGGAGGGGAGAGGGCAGGTGGAATCGGGGAAGGAGGGAGGTGACGAAGAGGAAAACGAGAAGGAGGAAGGAGGAGGGCGAGGGAAGGAGGCGGAAGGAGGTGAGGGGGAGGAAGGGGAGAAGCAGCCAGCGGTTGAGGTGGACAGATGCAGCAGGGAGGAAGGAGAGATTGATAGTGCAGATGGTGTGGGGAGGGAGAGGGGTGAGAGGAGAGATGGGGCGGAGATGGAGGTGGGAGGGAATGAAAAGGAAGTGGGGGAGGAGAGGGAATTGGGGGATGGGAGGGAATTGGGGGATGGGAGGGAATTGGGGGAGGAGAAGGAAGTGGGGGATGGGAGGGAAGTGGGGGATGGGAGGGAAGTGGCGTCAACTCAGGGTGAGGGCGGTGAGTGTGGGCAGGAGGAGGAAGGGAGAAGCGCGCTTGTACCTCTGGAAATTGCTGCAGTCGGCACTGCTGCAGTCGACACTGCTGCGGTCGACACTGCGGCACCTGACGTCCCTGGAGCAGATGCTTCCCCCAAGAGCACACCTGCTATGAACGCAGCTGTAGCAGACACAGGTGCAGCCGAGACAGCTGTAGCAAGTGCAGCCGAGACAGCTGTAGCAAGTGCTGTCGAGACAGCTGTAGCAAGTGCTGCCGAGACAGCTGTAGCAAGTGCTGCCGAGACAGCTGTAGCAAGTGCAGCCGAGACAGCTGTAGCAAGTGCAGCCGACGCAGCTGTAGCAAGTGCAGCAGACACAGCTGTAGCAGACACAGCTGTAGCAGACACAGCTGTAGCAGACATGGTTGTAGCAGCAACAGCTCCAGCGTCGGATACAGTTGCACCGGATACAGCCGCACTGGATACAGCCGCACCGGATACAGCCGCACTGGATACATCCATGAGGGGCCATGAGGAGAGGGGAGAGGGAAGCAGGGAGGGGGGCGAGAAGGAGCAGGTGAGTGGAAATGAAGCGGAGGGAGAGGAGGGGATTATGGATGCTGGAGAAGAGGAGGCAGAAGGAGAAGAGGGTACAGAGGGGGCAGGGGGGGCAGAAATGGCACAGGGGCCAGAGAGGGAAGAAATGGCAGAGGGGGCAGAGGGAACAGAGGGAACAGAGGGAGCAGAGGGAGCGGAGGTAGCGGAGGGAGCAGAGACGGCAGATGGGGCTGTGAGGGCAGAGGGGGCAGAGGGAGCAATGGAAACAGAGGCAGGAAAGAGGGGGGAGGGGGCACAAGCAGGTGTAGTGACAGGGCTGGCGGATGGGGAAGGAGCAGGAAGAACCTTTGGGGGAGCAGGGGAGGTGGCGATGGCAGAGGCATATGCAGAAACGGCAGGGGAGGTAGAGGGAGAAACAGCAGTAAGAGCGAGGAAAGGAGTAGGTGGGGAGATGGAGGGAGGGGAACAGGAGAGTGGAGGAGTGAGGGAAGGCTATGATCCAGGATCAGCAGCGGCAGCAGGTCCGGCAGTGGCAGGTCCGGCACGGACAGGTTCGGCAGTGGCAGGTCCGGCACGGACAGGTTCGGCAGTGGCAGCAGACACAGAAATGGAAGACCGAGCTTCACCTGACCCTGGCGCCGCTGGAGTGAGCACTGCTGAAGCTCCAGTTTCAGCACCTGCACGAACAGCACCAGGGGGGGAGGGAGCAGCAGCAGCACCTGTGGCACCTGCACCACCACCAGCAGCATTAGCTGCAGCACCAGTTTCCGCGCTCGTAGCAGCAGCACCAACAGTAGTACTAGCTCTAGCTTCACCAACACTAGCACCAGCACCTGCACCCGCACCAGCATCAGCAGTAGAACCAGCAATAGCAGCAGCACCAGCGCCAGCACAAGCACCAGGACCACTACCACCACGACAACCATCACTTCCATCACTACCATCAGAAGCGGCAGCAGTGGCAGCAGCAGCAGAGCGCACATCACATGCAGTCTCTGATCTGCCTCCCCCGCGCATGCGCAGGCCGCCACGACAGCCGTCCCCTCCGCGTCTGAGCTTCCTGCACCGCCTCAACGCCCTGCAGCACCAACGCCTGTTGATCAGCGACATTCAGCAACAGCAGCAGCAGCAGCAGAATGGTTACACTGCTGCTGGTGTGCCTGGCAGTGCTAGCAGCACCACTCCTCCCCCCTCAGACCACATACCCATGGAAAGTGCCTCTCTCTCTGCCGCCCAGGGTCTCACCCCTGTCACGCGGGATATCATGCTGGCGGAGCGGCTGCGTCTGGAGGATCTTATGAAGCACCAGCAGGCTGCCACGCTGGCAGCAGAGCGCCAGCTGGATGATGAGAAGGAGCGCCAGGTGGCGCTGGTGCTGCAGCGGTTTGAGAGGAGGAAGGCGGTGGTGAGAGCGAAAGGGGCGGCAGAAATGGAGAGGACAAGGGAGGCCATAGGGATGGTGGACGGCCAGATTCCGCTGCTGCAGGCTTGGCAGGCGAAGTACTCAAGTGGGGCAGGGGCAGCAGCCTCGGGAGCAGCAGGTTCGGGAGCAAGGGTTGCTGGAGGTGGTGCTGGGACTGCTGGGACTGCTGCGACTGCTGCGACTGCTGGGACTGCTGGGGCTTCTGCTGGTGGTGCTCATGGCAGTGGTGCAAGGGTTGCTGGACGTGGTGGTGGTGTGGGAGGAATGGGTGTGCAGTCACTAACCGCAGCAGCGCTGCCTGCAGCAGCAGCAAGCACCCGAGCAGTAGCTGTCGGCACGCCAGCCACCATGCATGCAGGCACCGCGAACATGCAGACGAACATGCACGCTGCACGGCATGCTGCAGTGAGCGCAGTGAATGCAGTCATGAGTGCAGTGAGTACGGGCATGAATGCATCTGCAGTTGCTCCCCAGCAAGGCCCTGTGACGCCACCTCCTGTCTCTGCTGCTGGTCTCTCAGGCCAGCAAGAGTTCATTCAGCAGCAGTGGCAGCGGCAGCAGCAGCAGCAGGTGCCAATGCAGCAGCAGCAGAATGTGCATGTGCGTGCACACATGCCCTCTCTGCCACATCCCGTGGTGGGCATGCCAAGCCGTTCTCTCTCTGCTGCTGCTACAAATGTTGGTGCCAGAGCTGCTGCTGCTGCTTCTCCTGCTGCTGCTCCTCCTGCTGCAACTGCTGGTGCTGTGCCGTCTGCTCGAGTGGCCGTCGCTCCACTCCCCCGTGCCTTTCCTCCCACTGCTGGTGGCACAGCAAGAGCTGCTGCTGGCACAGCAGGAGCTGCTACTGACACGGGTGGCTTGCCTTGTCTGAGCTCTCAACGGACCCATCAGCAGCAACGACAGCACTACCAGCAGCAGCAAGAACGTCAGCAGCAGCAGCAGCAACAGTGGCAGCAACAGTGGCAGCAGCAGCAGCAGCAACAGCAGTACCAACAACAACAGCAGCAGCAGCAACAGCAACAACAGCAGCAGCAGCAGCAGCAGCAGCAGCAGCGTGGCATGCCTGTATCAGCGGTGCAAGACATAGCTGCCATGGAAAATGCTTTTGTGCACCGATGGCTGTTGCAACAGCAGCCGCCACAGCAATGGCAGCAACAGCAGCAGCAACAACAACAGCAACAACAGCAGCAGCAGCAGAACTCACATCTATTCACAGTTTCAGGGGTGAATCGAGTGTTCGCTGCACCTTCTGCTGCCATCCCTCTGCCTGCTCCACTTTCCCCCTCCGCTGCCACTGCTGCCGTTTCCCATTCTGCTGCTGCAATATCTCCTCCTGCCCTCGTCGCTACAGGTGTACCTCTCGCGCCCTCTTCTCCTGCTGCCCCCCCACATGCCCTCCGCTCACCGCCCCCTACAGTGTTCTCGCTGCCTCTTCCCAACCCCACATCCCCACACACAGCTGCAGCATCGCCCCATGCACAGCCCCATGCTCCATCGCCCCATGCCCCGTCGCCCCTTGCCATCCATGCGCAACCCCGTGCGCAACATGCCCGACCTTATGCACAACATACCCAACCCCACGCCCAAAGCCACTCAACTCAACCGCATGCCCAACCCCATTCACAAAGTCGCTCACCTCAACCACACCTGCCCCATGCGCCACAGCCCCACAGGCAGTGCAACGCCACCTCGCCTCCCTCACATGCCATGCATCCTCCGTCAACTGGCCCCCATGCCCCTCTCAACGCCAACCCTGCTCACCTTCCTGACATGGCACAGCCTCAACATGCTGCTGCCCCACACGCCCAGCAGCAGGGGCACATGCATGGTGAGAAGCAGTTGTCTTACTCACTTCACAGTCCTCTCTTTTCTCTCCTGTCTCCTTCTGCCTCTCTCCTCTCTCCTCTCTCCTCTCTCCTCTCTCCTCTCTCCTCTCTCCTCTCTCCTCTCTCCTCTCTCCTCTCTACTCTCTACTCTCTCCTCTCTCCTCTCTCCTCTCTCCTCTCTCCTCTCTCCTCTCTCCTCTCTCCTCTCTCCTCTCTCCTCTCTCCTCTCTCCTTTCTCCTCTTACATCTCTCTTCTCTCCTCTGTCTGTCTCCTCCTTTCTCCTCCCCCTTCTCTTTCTGTCCTCTCTCAGTCTCCTCCTTTCCCGCAATTCACTCCACTTTTGTCCTACTGGAGTTCCATTGGTGCACCGCCATGTTTCTCCTTTCAGGTCCCCACCCATGCCTCTCCTCTGCTATTGTCCCCCACATGCATCTTTGCCTCTCTACCTCTCCGTTTTGATGCTTTTCCGCCTCTCTGCTTCTCTGCCTCTCAACGTGTGTGCACTATCACAGCAGGGGGCATGGCAGCAAATGTGATTCTCATTGACTCTGACGATGAGTAGCCAATCAACACCACGTGCTTGCTGACGAATAGTCAACTTCACATGCTGACTCACGAGTAGGCAGGCAAGTCCCCACGCCACTGGATTCGCTCGCCTGTCATCTGCCCACCCATCTGCTTACTGCCCCACCCATGTGCTGCCTACATTTGACGGTCTGAGATGGGCAATCCATGTACATCCTCTGTAGTCACTCTGCTCAATGCACAAGCCCTGGTGTACAAGCCTTGTGGCTAGCATACCAACCGTGATCGAGCCAAGTTCTGTTACCGTATTAGTGTGCCTCTTGAGTCGACTCAAAAGTCATCGAGCCAAGTTCTGTTACCGTATTAGTGTGCCTCTTGAGTCGACTCAAAAGTCATCGAGCCAAGTTCTGTTACCGTACCGTATTAGTGTGCCTCTTGAGTCGACTCAAAAGTCATCGAGCCAAGTTCTGTTACCGTACCGTATTAGTGTGCCTCTTGAGTCGACTCAAAAGTCATCGAGCCAAGTTCTGTTACCGTACCGTATTAGTGTGCCTCTTGAGTCGACTCAAAAGTCATCGAGCCAAGTTCTGTTACCGTACCGTATTAGTGTGCCTCTTGAGTCGACTCAAAAGTCATCGAGCCAAGTTCTGTTACCGTACCGTATTAGTGTGCCTCAAGGCACAGGCATTGTTGCTGACTTGACTCGATGCGCAAAAATGTAGCCAGCATACGGTACCCCGATACCAGTTTCAGCCGTGATTAAATCACAATTACCGTAAGAGTTGCTTTGCCATGCCACATGGCACCTTCCTTTTGTTTTTTTAACCAGTGAGCTCTTCTTGAAGGCTTTTGGAACCTTCGTCTGTAGTACAGTAAAAGTTCCTGAGGGACAATCCATGTAGCTGCAAAAGGGATGGAATACGATAGACCACATGATCTGGATGATGTTACAAAGATCAACGCAGCGCGCTATCACTGCAGGGCCTCAGAAGTCAGCGAAAAAAGGCTGATTTAGGTAAAAAAGGCTGAGATTTCAGACATTTTTCAGAATTGAGGCTGAATTTTCAGCTTTTTTTTGGGAAGAAACATGATTTTTACTACATTTGTAGTGTAAAATGGCATAAAATAGGCTGATTTCTCTGTTTTTCAGCATAGAATTTTGTACCAACTCTGATCTTTCAGCCTAGCCCGAAACCAATCTGATAATCACTGGGGGATTAAGCACTGCCTAGAACAACACGAGTTGATGGAAGTAAGGCCTCCGCAGCCCACCTGTCTTCTTTTGACAGCCCCCACTACCTCGGACACCGGGTTCACTATGAGGTTGTGGTTGCACTTAGCACACAACTCGTATCAAAATCGAGAGCTCTGTTGCTGTTGCCCTTGCATTCTCTCAGCAAAACCCTGAAGGACTTGAGGTGCCGCGCCGTGCACTGAGCTCGAGGTGCAAAGAACGAGGAAGGTGAACTACTTACTTCCTGGGAGGGAGGGTCTGTTGAATTGCATAGAAGGGCTGGGTCGTGATTCTGTGCAGTATATAATAATGGTGAAATTCCTCACTTCGGCTAAATTGGTGAAGCAATGATACTGAACAAGCTTGTACCATAAAACGCAACCCTGTTCCTGCTACCGGTACGATAATAATCTCATGATTTCCACCCTTCCTTGCCAGCTGCCCCTGTCCCCTTGCTCACAACCAGCTTCCCCCCTTTCCTCACCCCCCTACCTTCTCCCTCCCCTGAACTACACCCATCCCCGCTACCCACTCCCCTTCCCCCACTTCCCACGCTCCCCACCCTCTTCTCCCTCCCTCCTCCCGCCTCCCCTCTCGCACCCCCCCATTCCTCGTCCCACTCATCCCACTCCGACCCACCGTCTGCCCTGCTCCTTCCAGCTTCTCCCCGCACCCCTCCCTGCCCTCCCCCTCCCTGCTTCCCTCCTCCCAGGATCTGCTGTCCAAACGCAACAGACAAATCAACCTCCTGCCGAGCCACCTCAGAGTACGCCGCACCTGGCCCGTGCCTCCCGCCAAACCAGCTGCCGCTGCCCCCTGTTGCTACCCCACGGCTGGTACTCACGAGGCGGGAGAGGGAGCGGCAGCAGCAGAGGCAGCAGCAGCAGCAGGCGAGCAGTGCGAGTGCAGCAGCAAGGAGCACAGTTTGCCCGGGCGAGAGGAAGAGGGATGTGAGGGGGTAGAGAGGGGCGAGAATGGGTTCCAGGTTTGCAGCCAGGGGCGCGATGACCCAGCGGGAGAGGAACCCCGCTTCCTGCTCTGCATCCCCACCTGTAGCCGCCGCAGCTTTCCCAAAACCTTCCCCAGCAGAGGCGGCACCACCGTCAGCACCACCGGTAATTGACTCCTCAGCGCCCCCCTGTGGCTCATTCCCTGCCGCACCAATAGCATCAGCAGCATCTGAATCAGCGGCGTTGGTGGGCTGGGGGGGTTCAGGGGGGATGTCAGAGAGGTCAACGGAGACCATCTCCTCGTCCACTGGCACGTCCATCACGTCCTGTGGCCCCGTGAACGCCACCTGCACCTCCTCTCCCGCTCCCTCCCCTCCTCCGCCTCCCTTTTCCCCTCCGCCTCCCCCTCCTCCGCCTCCCCCCCCGCCTCCCCCCTTTCCCCCGCTTTCTCCTGTTCCCGCATCTGCTGCTGCTCCGTCTGCTGCCTCTCTCTCCGCGCTCCCGCCCTCACTCCCGCCCTCGTCCTTGTCCTCGCTGCTGCGTTTCGTCGTGCTCTCTGTCGTGCTCTCGCCCTCCCCACCCGGCCCCCCTTCCTCCTCGTCCCCAGCAGCCCGCGCTGCTCCTGCTTCCCCCTTCTCCTTACCACCCCCTTCCCCCTCCCCATCCTCCTCCTCCGATTGCTTCTTCGACTTGTTCTTTTTCTTTCTGCTGCTCGTTGCATCCGCTGCTCCCCGCTCATTCCCCTCACTCCGCTCACCCCCTTCACCCTCCTCGCCTTCCGCCTCCTGCTGCTCCCCTTCAACCTCTTTCCCCCGTGCTGCCCTTGTTGACTTGCTTGATTTTTTTGACTTGCTTGACTTGGTCATTACCGCATCCTCTCCACCTTCCTCCTCATCACTCCCCTCCTCCCCACCGTCCGCCTCCCTCACCTCACTTTTCTTCCCCTTGATTCTTTTCGTTCGCTCCCCCTCCCTCTCACTGTCCCCGTCCTCGGCATCTTCCCCCTTCCCCGCAATCACCGCTTCCGCCTCCGCCATCGCCTTATCCACTGCGGAGAAGCCTTCCCCGTCCTCGCCATTTGGGCTTCCCCTTTTTCCGCTCGTCCTACCCGCTCCCATCCCCGTATCATCAACCTCTCCCCCCTCCGCCTCCTCTTCCCCCTCCGCTTCCCTCACAGAATCGACAGCCTTCTTGCTTCCCGTCTTCTTCGTTTTCTTCGCTTTCTTTGTCGTCTTCTTCTTCTTAACCACTCGAGCCGCCTCCTCGTCTCGCGCGACTTCCGCGTCGGCCGCATCGTCCGCCGCTCCTCTCTCCGCTTCGGCCGAGATTCCTTCCTCGTCCTCCGCAATCTCCGCTGCTTTCGCGGTCTTAGACGTCGACTTTTTCTTTTTCTTCTTCACTTTTAAAACCCTGGCAACAACGCGGTCAACATTCTCAGACTCCATAATCGGATCCAATTCAGCAGCGGTTGCTACGATTCCTGTATAAGCTGACGCGGTAATGCGCGGAAGGCCCTCGCGTTTAGCGTCATTGCCCGTTGAAAGGCGCGCAGCGGAGGCCACGTGCGACAGAAGCAGCAGGAGAGAGAACACCACGGCGGTAAGAGATATCACGCTGCGACATCGCCATGCGACTGCCGTGGCGGCCGCCATGGATTGCGGAGACTCAGCCGCGTCGCGTATTTGATACGGACTGTTCACGACAATGGGTCTATGTATCCTAGACAACATGATAAGTGTGTTTACAGCCCAAGCCAGTTTTGTCTGGTAGGTGCGTACTCGTCAGGGGATCAGGCAGGAGCACGACAGAAGCGTAGTGTCCTTCATACACTTGGAACTTCTAAATATTACACGATGTACTGCAAGGTACACGTTAAGATTTTCCAATGATGGATTAATATATCATGTACTACATCTCTTTTGGAGCCAATATGTTGTCATAGATCTTCCCTTTTTCTTGGCATGTACTTCCCAATCTGACTCCACTTCCACAACCAAAGGTCCTTGCAAAGCAGATGAATGTTGGGTAACTTCGTCAATCATACCCTCCTTTGAGATGTCAAGGTCAGGAAGACCATTGCTATCACTGGCACTGGGATCGCCATCGCATAGCACGAGTTCGCCTTGGGACCACCTAATGGCATCGTATGTCAGCCGTGTTGCCACCTCCTCAATGTCTGACTCGATCAAAATCTGCGAGCCAGAAAGATTACCACACAACCCATAATTGCCCCGTGCCGTGGCCATGCTCTCATACATCACGGAAAAGTGGTCCCACAGAAAGGTTCAATGCAAGAGAGAACGACCTTAAAAAAAAACACACAAAAAGACGGGTGTAGCGGAGTATACTCACCTTGCCCGGGGGGTGCAGCAGGGCAAGCATGGCATGCACGAGGGCAGGGGTGAGCATGCCCCACCGGTGCACGTGTGCTGTGCCCCTCTCCTGCGCTCTCCTGCTCGCTGCGAAGTCAGGGTCCGGGCACTGCCATGTGCGAGAAGGGCAATGGAACGCTGACAGGTTGGGCTGTTAAATCAACTAAAAAATCCTGCTCGCTGCAAAGTCTGGGTTTGGGCACTGCCGTGGGTGCCAGAGGCAAGGGGCCGTTGAAGGAATGCCACCAGGGCAGATAAGGAATGTTTAGACACCCTTTTGAAATGGAGATGGGAAACTGGGATGGGAAGGCTGAGGAGGTGGATGGGGCAGGGATAACTGTGAGTCAGCTCAGAGAAGTGATATTAGCGCAATGTGGGGAGGACGGGGGTACCTGGATGGTGATGAGGTTGATGGGGCCAGGGTAGCCGACTAGCAGCGAGTGCAGAGACGTGGTGGCATTGGCATGGATGAACCACCTGCATGGAGCACCAGAGGGGCGGGCATACCGCAGGGGGGCGGGCAGTCATGGAAGCAGCTAGGATCGGCCCAGTGGTTGCACGCGTTATGAGACGGGTTTTGAGTCTACTAAATCAGTGTCTCATCTCATGCGGCAGGCATACAGCACGATGGGCAGGCAGCCATGGAAGCAGCCAGAAATGGGTCAGTGGTGTTGCACGCGTGAACACGAGGGTGCTACACTGCCACGTTAGCATGCTAGCCTGCGGTGGGTTTGAGTGGACAGGAGTGGCAAGGGCAATATGTATGTACAAGTGCCGGACGGCAGAGTGAGTGGCGTTCATACACGTTGCTTGGTGCGTGCTCCCTGCGCTGCCTGGGAATGTCCCTGACAGAGGTGGGCCCGTGTGAGGCATGCGGTGCGGGAGAGCTGACAGCCATAAAGAGCGCCTTCTTCACCAGCTGGTGTGATGTGCGGCAAGTGGGTGAAGGGGAGAGGGAGGGAGACGGGGGGAGAGGGGGTGAGAGTGTGAATGGGTGTGCGAGTGCGAGTGTGTGTGGGTGTGCATGAAAGTGTGAGTTTGATTGTAAGTGAGTATGAGGGTGCGAGTGAAAGCGCGTTTGAAAGAGTGTGTGCTGTGCGAGTGAGGGTGGGTATTTGCTTGTTCACTCCTCACGCACATGCGGGTTGATCTCCACCCCAAGAAAGTTCCTTGACTCTCTGAACCGCACCGCCATGCTGCGACAGAAGCGCCCGTTGCCTGCACTCATACGCACACGCTCATACGAACACATGCACACATGCACGGCAAAGGCCACACTCTGAACATTGCCGAATCCTCAGGGTCCCTCTGGAGCTCTTTGATTCTCACAACTCCTCTCACTCTTCCAGGCATGCAGCAGTCCCGCACTCACCACAGCCGATGTCAACAGTAAGGGGCAACGAGGGATCAAGGAAGACTGTGGACCAATTGGGAGGTGGCAGTGGCACCTGGGAGAGAACGGTGGTACGTACAGGAGACATAAAGGGGAGAGATAAAGGAAGAGATGGGAAGATAAGGGGAGGGAGGCAGCACGAGCGAATGGTGCTGGCTATGATTCCTTCACGACTAGTCAATGCAGGGAATGCTAGTCAACTCACAAAGTCAAGGCAGTCAACTCACAAAGTCAAGGCAGTCAACGCCAGGAAGAGGCATCCCTTGGAGTCCACGAAGCAGAGCTGTCCCTCCATCCACCACCACACACTCCCTGCCCCCCTCCCCATCCCCATCTCTCCTCCCCTTCCCCTCCACCATCTCCTCATGCTGCCGTAACTGCCGCCCCAGCACCTGCTGCAGCTGCCGCCCAGCCACTATGAGTTTTGACCGGCCCATTTGAGCAGCAGTGGCAGTAGTAGGAGCAGCAGCAAGGGTGGCAGTGGTGGAGGCAGGCGAAGGACTGCTGGCGCCGCTGCTTTTGCTGGTGGGTGTGGTGGTGAGACGGGCAAGCAGAGCAGAGTCAGCACAAGGCAGTGCATGCGACCCAATCTCCTCCAGCCCATGCTCTGACCCACTCGCCCCTTGCGCCCTGTGCGCCCCATGCGTTGATGCACGGGTGCTCGGCAGTGGTGGCTGCAGAGAGATGGAGCCCGCCCAGAAGACAGTCTGATGACTCCAGGCAGGGGGGGAGAAAGAAGAAGAGGGGAGATATTGTGTTGGGATCCATGCAGGGAGGGAACTCTGAGCTGGCTAAAATGTATTTGCGTGGGGGCAGGGAGATACAGCCCGCTCAGAAGAGAGTCTGCTAGATTCATGGGGAGAGGCGGAGATGGGAACAAGGCGATGGCAAAAACGGAGGAGAGTGAATGAGGAAGTTGGAACACATCGGAGGTGGGGCGAATGCAGCTGTTGCATTGTGGTGCGAGGCATGAGGGAGCATGTGGAGGTGGGGGATGTGGAGATGAGGGGGTGTGGGGAAGGGGAGTGCCGACCTTGCAGTTGAGGGCAGCACAGAGCCGAGCGACGTCCTCAATGCTTGACGGGCACAACTCCACCCGCTGCTGCTGCCACTCACACTGCTGCTTCTTCTCATACAGCTGCTTCTGCTGCTGCTGCTGCTGCTGCTGCTGCAGCTGGTGGTTGTGGGAGTGAGTAGTAGTGGTGCCGTGAGTAGCAGGTACCGCACGCACAGCAAGGGGCAGCACGAGGCGGGAGAGGAGGGGAGAGGGCAGCGAGGAGAGGAAAGCAGAGGCTTCCACCACGGCTTGTGGTGAAGGCCGGGGGAGAGCAGCTAGGAGGGACGCGATGTTCGTACGTGGACCCGCTGTCTCCCCTCTTTCTGCTGTCTCAGCTCCATCTGATTCACTATGTGCTGCTGCTGGATCACTGCAGTGCAGTGTGGCAAGAGTAGGAAAATCGGGCAGGCAGGCAAGGTGGAACCCACAACCACCTGAACCAGCAGCAGTACGAGCATTAGCAGCAGCGAGGAGGGCAGGTAGCTCGGGGCCAGAGAGCACGAGGGCATTGCATCGAGGCAGCAGGGCGCGGATCAACGCACCACTGCGACCCATGCTTGCCACTCCCACCACTCCCACCACTGCCACCACTGCACTGCGCCCCTCACCACCACTCACCTCTCCAGCCCCCCTTTCCGCCGTCACCTCCACGTGTCCCACACCCCCCACTCCCCCTACGTCCGCCAAGTCCTCTAGCACCCCCATAAGCTCTCTCTCCACCCGGACCCCAGCAACAGCCCTGCCCACCACTGCTGCCACGCCCACGGATGATGCCAGCACGCGATGGCACGCAGAAGGCGCGTCCAGCACCACTAGATCTACCACCGGGACGGGGGATGCTCGGAATGTGTGGGAAGCGGGGGAGGGGAGCGTGGTGGTCGGTTCTTGTAGCCTCTCCTGCCCTGCCCAGGTTAGGTCCCCTAACTGCTGCTGCGCTGCCATTTCTGTCCCAGGGCGATCGGTTGGGTTTGGTAGCTCCTGCTGCACTGATGCACTGTCGGGTTCTTCTGCCACGCCTGCCAGCGTGGCAGCTAGGGTGGGTGAGTTGGCGGCATCGGTGGATGACACGTGGCGGAGGTTGGGCAGCAGCAGGACGTGAGGAGGGGGGGGGCGCGAGGGGAGGGGAGTGGCGTGGGCGTGAGGGCGAGTTGGGGGTGGTTGCAGGGTGAGGGGTGGGAGTGGTGGTGCTGGGGGTTGTTGGTGGTGGAGGTGACAGGAGAGGGGCGAAGTGCAGAGGTGCGACCTGGACAGGCTGGGACTGGGACAGGCCGCATGCCGCGGATAGCAGGGCTGCACGTGAGGAAGGGGAGGGGAATTGGAAGAAGGGAGGGCTTTAAGAACGAATGGGAGAAGTGAGAGGAGCCATACCTCACGATCGCCATGCACCATGCCGGACTAGCCATGTGCTAGGCGGTTGCCATATGCCCTGCCTGCCACTTGCATGCATCATTCATGCCGCATGTCTCACCAGCGACAGCAGGTTGAGAGGCCGTGTCAGGCGCCCACTCTCCCGCCACCACCACCACCAGAGCATATTTCCGTGCCCACTCGCGCAGTATCAGCCTCAAACTGCCCACACTCCGCACCTCGTTCTCCTCCCCCTCCCCCTTCCCCTCCGCTACCCCCTCCCCCTCCCCCTCCGCTCCCCCCTCTGCCTCCCCCTTTCCCCCATTCCCCGCACTCCCCCCCGCCACCAGGTCACTCAGGTCGCACCGCAGCAGCATAACCCGCCGCTTCCACTTCTCCTCCCCCTGCCCTCCGCGCGTGCCATCCCCCTCCGCCGCCCCTTGCGTAATCTCCCCCCGCCTTCCCCTTTGCAGCTCCCGCTCAAGCGCAATCAGCCCCCTCAGGGTCTGTCTCTCCGCCGCCCCTCCCCCCCGGTACCTGCCCTCCCCCATACCCTTCCCCTTCCCCTTCCCCTCTCCCGCTTTCAACCCATCCTTTCCGCCAGTCCTTCCGCCCTTCTCCTGCTGCGCGCTCCCGCCTCTCTGCCTCTCTCCCGCAGTTGCGCTTATCCGCCCATCATGCGCCCCTGCGCCGATTCGATTAACACTACGACAGTTTAAGCATGAATTTCCCGTCAATCGAAACCCCCGATATAAGCACAGTCCTTGCGGGAGACTGACGCGCCGCGCCGCAATTCGTTCCCACGACCGCGACACCCCAGCACGCGCCGAGCAGACGGCACGCGCGGGGAGGGCCGGCAATCCTCCGCTGCGCAAACCCGGTGCGCATGTCTGAGCGGAGACTTCTGGCGGAACAACGGCACCGTGTGCGCGCGCAGTGAGTGCGCAGTACGGTGCGCGCGCCTGCACTAAGGGGGTTGCCATGACGCCCCTGCGGCTTGGCCCTCCCCGCGCAGCTCGAAATTCTCGACTACTTGGCTAGTCGCTGGTCATTGTGCATGAGCGCGAGGCGGTGTGCGAGTAGCCATACTGCGAGATGGCGCGAGATCAGTTGTGGATTGGAGCGGAAGTGGGATTGGAAAGATAAACTGCGCGCCAAATTTCCGAAACCCTGAATCTTATACCCTGCAGATTTTCGGACCTGATATTGTCGGACTCGAGAAGGTTAGTACACGAATTTTGTGCAGGGTTTGAGAGCCCAACCACATATAAACTCGGTGAGTGCAGTTGATCACTGAACCGAAATCCTCCATTCGCCGCTCCGCTAGTCTATTAGCAACCGTCACTACCACGTCCGTTGCTAGATTTTTGCGCCACAAACGGCGGGTCGTTGCGAGCTAGACCGCAACATCGCGGAGCGGCAGTGAGCAGTAGAGCACAGCAGCAGCTATAGGCGCCCCATGCCGGAGCGCGTGCGCGCACGTGAAGCAGTGAGCGAGGGATAATTCTAGCTATCGGACGAGCGCGCGAGCGCGCGCAGTCTGCGGGAAGGCGGGATGGCGGTGGGCGCTGTGGCGGACGGAACGGGGGGTGGGCGGAGCGGGAAGGAGGGGGGCGGGGAGAAGGCGGCGAGCACGGCGCGGCTGCTGCGCACCGTGCTGAGCTGGGACTTCTTCCACATGCTCGCCCTCTCCAAGGTAATACTCATGTTCTCGTCCTCCTCAAGGCAATACTCGTGCCATCGTGCCTCTTGATTCCTCCTTCTCTCTCCACTGCCCCCCCTTCTCCCCAACCCCTGTCGCATGTGGCACTGCGTGTGGGCGAGCAGGTGCGCGAGAGGAAGCGGCAGCCCAGGAAGCTCCCCCAACTTCCTGCTGCTGATGCTGCTGCTGCTGTGGAGGAGAAGGAGGGGGAGGAACGAGAGGGTGATGAGGCCAAGGACGCTGCGTTGGCTGCTGCAGACGCAGGCACGGAGGCAGCAGCGGCGCTAGTGGCGCAGGGGGAGGGGATGGAGGTGGATGGCGGAGAGGCAGGGCAGGGGGAAGGCGGCGCAGGAGCAGAGGAAGCAGCCGCGGAAGAAGAAGAAGAGGCAGCAGCAGAGGGCGAGGGGGAGTTGGAGGGGGAGGAGGATGAGTTGAGGGAGGTGCCGGTGCAGTTCAGCAGCGCAGAGGAGTATGTGGACGTGTTCGAACGCCTGCTGCTGGAGGAATGCCGCGCGCAGATCCTCCGAGGGGCCGAGGAGCAAGGTGCGTGTGGTGGGGGGCGGGGAGGGGGGTAGAGGGAGTGTGTGTGTGTTGTGGACGCGGTTGATGCCATCCCTTCTCCTATTCCGTGCACATGATGTTGCGCCTATAGGCATAAGTCACGTTGCTCGGAGAATCTGAGCTGCCCACCACTACTCATCATCCTGCTCGCCTCCTCCTCCGTTGTTGTTTCCACCCACGTGGCCCCTGTGTTTCCACCCACGTGGCCCCTGTGTTTCCACCCACGTGGCCCCTGTGTCTCCCCCCACATGGCAGGCGGCATGGAGATTCATTTGAGACGTCTCAAAAATCCTGCTCGCCGCCTCCTCCGTTGTTGTTTCCACCCACGTGGCCCCTGTGTTTCCACCCACGTGGCCCCTGTGTCTCCACCCACGTGGCCCCTGTGTTTCCACCCACGTGGCCCCTGTGTTTCCACCCACGTGGCCCCTGTGTTTCCACCCACGTGGCCCCTGTGTTTCCACCCACGTGGCCCCTGTGTTTCCACCCACGTGGCCCCTGTGTTTCCACCCACGTGGCCCCTGTGTTTCCACCCACGTGGCCCCTGTGTCTCCCCCCACATGGCAGGCGGCATGGAGAGTCATCTGGTGGTGGCGGTGCGGTGTGAGCGAGCCAACGAGTTCCACATGGTGGGGGTGGCGTCCAAGGAGGCCCTCGTGGCGGACTGTCACGACAACGACCTGCTGCTGCTCTCCAAGGAAAAGGTGACTCGTGCTCTTTCCTCCTCTTGGTCCACGCGCGCGCGCGCCTTGGTCCACGCCATGGGGCGGCAGCGAGTTAACCAGAACATACGCGATCGCGAGTGTGGAGTCCTTTGAGACCAAAACACCCCTTTCTCCTCGTTCCACTCTTACCCCCCTTCGCTCGTCTTGCCCCTTTGCTCACTTCCACTCTCGTCCCTCCCCTCTCTCCCCCACAAAGCCATGGGGAGGCAGCGCACTACCCAGCACATACGCCATCGCCAGTGTGGAGTCCCGCGAGACCAAAACGTCTCTGCGCCTGCGACTGTGCCTGGAGGACCCGTGGCAGTGGGCTGACCCCGGAGGACCACCCACCACCGCAGCAGCCACAGACTTGGAGCAGGCCGGAGAAACAGAGGCAGGGGGGAAGGGAGCAGAAGCAAGGCCGGCCGAGGGGAAGGGGAGAGGGAAGGGGAGGAGGTGGGGGGTGCGGCAGCGGGCAAGAGCCAATCGGATGCTTTCCTTCCTCATGGGGGCGGCGGCAGGAGGGGGCAGTGCGTGTTGGGTGAGCAAGCTGTGCAACACGTCCACCATCTCGCGGGAATACGCCGCTCTGCGCTCCGCCCCCACGCTGCCCTACATCCGCACCGTGCTCGCCTCCCACATGCCCGGCCCAGGGCACACTCAAGCAGCCGCAGCAGCGGGAGGAGCAGGAGGAGCGGGAGGGGAGGAAGAGGAGGAGGGAGGGGGGGGCGCGGGACCGGGGAAGCAGCAGCAGTGGCGGGTGCCGGAGGGGTTGATGGAGCATCTATCTGCGAGCCACAACGAGTCGCAGCTGAGGGCCATCAAGGGCGGGCTGTCCCGCCGCCCCCTCGTGCTCATCCAGGGGCCCCCTGGCACCGGCAAGACACAGGCCATACTGGGGCTGCTCAGTGTGGTGCTGCATGGCCGCCCGGCGCACGAGATGGGGGATGCCGGGTGAGTGGGTGGGCCTGGTGGGTGGGTGCTGGGTGGGTGGGTGAGGGAGCGTGTGTGTGTGTGCGTGGGGTATATGAGGCCATTGTTATCCTCATTGTACCGTGGCAGTACCAGCAGCAGCAGCAATGGCGGCAGTGGCAGGGGCTGTCATAACCCGCCCTCGTCCTTCTTCCCCACCACCCTTCACCCCACTCCAGCAACGGCGCCCAGCACATCACGCACATGACACGGCTGACATGGCAGCAGCGGCAGCAATGGCGGCAGTGGCAGGGGCTGTCATAACCCGCCCTCGTCCTTCTTCCCCACCACCCTTCACCCCACTCCAGCAACGGCGCCCAGCACATCACGCACATGACACGGCTGACATGGCAGCAGCGGCAGCAGCAGTAGTAGGGACTGCCTCAGAGAATCTAAGGGCCCCACCCATTTCCCCTCCCTGCCCTTCCCTTCACCCTACCCACAGCAACGGCGCGCAGCACATCACGCACATGACGCGGCTGACATGGCAGCAGCGGCAGCAGCAGTGGGTGCGAGCGTCCCCCTGGCTGCACGGGGTGAACCCGCGAGAAGCTGTACAGCCAGATGATGAGGAGGAGGGTGGTGCAGGGAGCTCGGGAGGCGGTGTCTTTGGCAGCACACAGCAGGTGGGGGTGGCTGGCCGGCCATGGGATGCAGCAGGTGGGGCTGGGCGGCGCATGGCATGCGGCTGAGAGGCAATGAGAGGTGGATTCCCTTTGGCACATGGCGTGACTCACTCCCCTTTCCGCGGCTGCTTCTCCCGTGCTCTGTCACGTGGTGCATCTGTAATCGCCCTGCCTTCCTCCCTTTTCTCCTCGCCCTCTCCTTCTCCCTCCGCCCTTTCCTCGTCCACTCATCTCCACCAAACCAGCAGACCCTCTCCACCCTCTCTCTCCCTCCACCAGGTGGAGGTGTTGGGGGGCCATCGCAAGCAGAGGGCGCACGTGCTCGTGTGTGCGCCCTCCAACGCTGCTCTCGATGAGATTGTGCTGCGCCTGCTGCACACAGGTGAGTGTTTCTTGAGAATTCTACTAAAACTGATCAGATGTGAGATTTGAGTCGACTCAAAAAATGCGTCACCATGTATCACCCCTCTCTTCCTGAGGGCATAACATGCCGTGTCATGCACCTAGTGCGTCATTCGCTCCCTCCATCCCATCCCACCCCACCCCATGCGTGCAGGCCTGAGGGACGACAGTGGAGGCATGTATTCACCGTCGGTGGTGCGCGTGGGGCTCAACGCTCATCACTCCGTCGCCTCTGTCGCCATGGATAACCTGGTGGGTGTTAGGGCTGTCATATGCATGTGTGGCGGTACTTGTGGTGGCACATGCGACTGCATGGTCACTGCGCTCTACTCGTGCATCACTCTAATTTCTGACGGTTGTTATATTCTTTCCTACATATACTAGTACTTGTAGTTGTATTACTTACGCAGGATTCCTTTCTCTGAACACATCCCCTCTCTCCCCCTTTCTCCGCTCCTCCCCACCTCACAGGTATCTCAGCGAGCCAGCAGCATGGCACGGTCAGCAGCGGGGGTGGGAGCCAAGACAGCAGGGGCAGGCGGGGTGGAGCGAGACAGAATACGAGTCGCCATTCTCGACGAGGCTGCCATTGTGAGGCCCCATGTTTGTAGAGCATGATGTGACAGCATGATGTGACAGCATGATGTGAGAGCATTTCTTTGTGCAAGGAGAGCTGGTTGGTTGAGACCTGCTACATCTGTCCAGGCGCCATATGTCTTGTCCTTCTCTCCTCCTGCACGGCAAAGCCTTTCCCCTTACAAGTTTTCTCACTGCAAACCGTTGCTTCGTCTGGCGCCACCAAAAATCACACCTCTATCCACCCACCAATCCATCCATGCCCCTTGTCCCTTTTCTCACTCCCATGTCTTCTGCCCGTTTCCTCCCCCCACCCATGCCCCGGCCCCATCCCACCGGTCCCAAGGTGTGTTCAACGCTCGCGTTCGCAGGGTCAGGTGTCTTCTCGCGCATGTCACGGCCATTCGACGTGGTGGTCATTGACGAGGCGGCTCAAGCGGTCAGTGCAGCACCTCTATCTGCCTCTTTTGCTGTGCCTCTGTCTCTGTCTCTGACTCTGCGCTCTGCCCCTCACTTTGCCTCTGCCTCTGTCCCTACCTCTCCAGCTGCCTCTGCTTCTGCATTGCTCATGCCTGCATGCCGCTGTGCCGTGTGTGCCTGGCCCGGCCCCACCCATGTGCCTGGCCCCACCCATGTGCCTGGCCCCACCCATGTGCCTGGCCCCACCCATGTGCCTGGCCCCACCCATGTGCCTGGCCCCACCCATGTGCCCACCAGGTGGAGCCATCAACGCTCATCCCAATGACTCACGGGTGCTCGCAGGTGTTCATGGTGGGGGACCCGCTGCAGCTGCCAGCCACTGTGCTCTCCACACGCGCCGTGCACTACGGGTGGGTGGGATAACGCGTCACGTTCAGCACATGCACTATGGCTGGTCGGGTGAGATGAGAGGCGTGCTAGCTGGTATGCACAGGTTGCTGCTCGCAGGTGTTCATTGTGGGTGGGCGACCCATTGCAGCGGCTAGCCAATGTGCTCTGCACCCACACTGTGCATTACGGGTGGGTAGCTGAGATGAGAGGCATGCTACCGTATTCTGCTCTTTCCAGAGGTCTGAGATAGATTATCGGCTCTTTCTACCTCTCTCACTCCCCATCTTTTCTTGACCTTTCCTCGTTCCCTGTGTCTCATCCGGCCCCTTCCACTCATGCCTCACATCCATCCCACCCCACCAGGTACCATGGCAGCATGTTCTCTCGCCTGCAGCAAGCGGGGTACCCTGTGGTCATGCTCAACACACAGTACCGCATGCACCCCATGGTAAGGCATGTCGGATGTGCAAACTTCAAACTTCGCCTCTTCTGTTCACTGTCAGGTAGCCACTGTCGTGAGGAATAGCCTCCCAGGTGTCTGTTCCCGTATACCCATTCTCAGGTACCTGTATCCAGGTAGTGCCAGGTGTCAACGGCTCATCTCGGATTGTGCTGCCCCGCAGAAGTCTTACTCCCACCCCATCCACAACCCCACTGATTGCATTCGGCAATGCCCCTCCAACTAGTTTGACAGCAGGGCGTTTCCATCTCTGCCCCACGACGACCCCGCATTTCACCCACGCCCAACCCACCAGAGCCGGCACTTCCCCTCGAACGAGTTGTACGGCGGCGCACTGAGGGACGCGCCGCGGATGGCGCAGCACAGTGCAATGCCCGTCTCCCTTCTGCTGCTCACAACCACCCACAACCCCTCTCCACCGTGCCGCCCCACCAGATCCGGCACTTCCCCTCGCACGAGTTCTATGGCGGCGCATTGAGGGACGCGCCGCAGATGGCGCAGAACACGGCGCGGCCGTGGCACACTGAGCGCGTGTTCGGGCCGTTGTTCTTCTTCGACCTGCACCAGTCCAAGGACGAGCAGCCGCGTGCGTGGCTGGTACTTGGGGATCTAGGGAGAAGCCAGAAGGGGGAGTGGTTAGTGGGAGAGGGAAGGAGAGGGTACGGGGAGAGGGTCGGGGTAGGCAGGGAGAGAGGTTGGCAGTTGTGGAAAGTGAGAGGATGGAGCAGATTTTGTGATGGGGGGCAGTGCTGCACTGCCACGTGGTGGGCGAGCGCTCTTTCGCTCCGACCCCCTCCCGTCCACCCTCTCCTCATGCCTCTCTCCAATCAAATTCTTTTTCTGTCGCCCTACCAGCGGGTGGATCGTGGATGAACGCGGACGAGGCGGAGTTTGTGATGGTGCTGTGCTGCCACCTCGTGGTCAGCACATGGTGGGGTTCCCCTCTGCCCATTGAGAGCACGATGTATTGTCTCCATTTCACTCACTCCTTGTGCCACAGCGGAAGGCTCGTGGATGAACAAGGACGAGGCGGAGTTGTGATGGTGCTGTACCGCCACCTGGTGGCGCTGTACCCTCAACTCCCTTCAACCCACCCATTCAAACCAGCTTGTTCTCACGCCACGCGCCCCTTCCTCTGCTTGCACCACAGCGGGCGGCTCGTGGATGAACAAGGACGAGGCGGAGTTTGTGATGGTGCTGTACCGCCACCTGGTGGCGCTATACCCGCAACTCAAGGAGTCCTCTGACGTCGGTGTCATCTCCCCGTACAAGCACCAGGTCGGTGTCGATGTAACCTCCGTGTCATCTCCCCGTACAGTTCCCCGTACAGTTACTGCAAGGTGCGTTGCAGATGATGTGTCTGTGCAACCTCTTCATCTGGACTTTTCCCCATTGCTTTCCTAATTCCCCTCTCTCTGGTGCCTCCTCTCAGGTGAAGCTGTTGCGAGACAAGTTTAGAGAGCTGCTGGGCGAGGGGGCTCATAGAGTGGATGAAAGCACATGATGCTGAAAGTAGGCACGAGCAAATGGCTCGTTTGGGTCGGCCCGAAAAGATCCCGAATCTCCCCCCTCTTTTGGTTCTTCCTCTCAGGTGAAGCTCCTGCGAGACAAGTTTCGAGAGCTGCTGGGCGAGGGGGCTCATAGAGTGGATGTCAACACCGTTGACGGATTCCAGGTGCGCGCTGCTGGTGTTGACGGATTCCAGGTGCGCGCTGCTGGTGTTGACGGATTCCAGGTGCGCGCTGCTGGTGTTGACGGATTCCAGGTGCGCGCTGCTGGTGTTGACGGATTCCAGGTGCGCGCTGCTGGTGTTGACGGATTCCAGGTGCGCGCTGCTGGTGTTGACGGATTCCAGGTGCGCGCTGCTGGTGTTGACGGATTCCAGGTGCGCGCTGCTGGTGTTGATGGCTTTGCTGGGTCTTGTGCGTTGCGTGCCCATGTAATGCTCCTTTTTATCATGTTTCATGTGATGCTCGTTTCATGTGATGCTCGTTTCATGTGTTGCTCGTTTCATGTGATGCTTGTTTCATATGTTGCTCGTTTCATGTGTTGCTCGTTTCATGTGATGCTCGTTTCATATGTTGCTCGTTTCATGTGTTGCTCGTTTCATGCCATGCTTTTGTGCGCATGCTCTGCTTGCAGGGCCGAGAAAAGGACGTGATCATATTCTCGTGTGTGCGGGCGGGGAGGGGCAAGGGCAAGAGCATCGGGTTTCTGTCAGACTATCGGCGCATGAATGTCGGCATCACACGCGCCCGCTCCTCCATGCTCGTGAGCCTTGCTCTCATCTGCTCCCCTTCCATGCTCGTGAGCCTTGCTCTCATCTGCTCCCCTTCCATGCTCGTGAGCCTTGCTCTCATCTGCTCCCCTTCCCTGCTCGTGAGCCTTGCTCTCATCTGCTCCCCTTCCCTCCTCCCATCTCTACCCATGTTGCACCTTCCCTGCTCCCATCTCTACCCATGTTGCGCCTTCCCTGCTCCCATCTCTACCCATGTTGCGCCTTCCCTGCTCCCATCTCTACCCATGTTGCGCCTTCCCTGCTCCCATCTCTACCCATGTTGCGCCTTCCCTGCTCCCATCTATACCCATGTTGCGCCTTCCCTGCTCCCATCTCTACCCATGTTGCGCCTTCCCTGCTCCCATCGCTACCCATGTTGCGCCTTCCCTGCTCCCATCTCTACCCATGTTGCGCCTTCCCTGCTCCCATCTCTACCCATGTTGCGCCTTCCCTGCTCCCATCGCTACCCATGTTGCGCCTTCCCTGCTCCCATCTCTACCCATGTTGCGCCTTCCCTGCTCCCATCTCTACCCATGTTGCGCCTTCCCTGCTCCCATCGCTACCCATGTTGCGCCTTCCCTGCTCCCATCGCTACCCATGTTGCGCCTTCCCTGCTCCCATCTCTACCCATGTTGCGCCTTCCCTGCTCCCATGTATCCATGCTCTCATGCTCCACGCAGCACCCCTGCTTCACCATCCGTACATCGCGTTCAAAGGCATCTCCTGTGCTCACCTCTGCATGGGTGCATGGGTGCATGGGAGCAGGTGGTGGCGAATGCAGCAGCGCTGATGGTGGACGAGCATTGGGGCAATCTGGTCAAGCATGCCCGCTCCACCAACCGATACCTCAAGGTCTGCCCTCTTGTTCCCATGTACTTTGGTCACATGCACTGCCACAAGTCTCAAGTCCTCCCCTCAAGTCACCTTCGTCATCCTCCCCTCCCTGCAGGTGTCACGCCCCTTCCACCGCATCTTCGCCAGTGACCACCTGGAGAAGATGAGAGCAGTGGCCCATGCCGAGGGCGAGGGGGAGGGGGAGGGGGAGGGGGAGGGGGAGGGGGAGGGAGCGCCAGGAGCGGAAGCAGGAGGAGCACCAGCAGCAGCAACAGGGCCTGCTTTCAAGAAAGCTCCCACACTGGAGGATTTCGGGGGAAAGCTGGACAAGGGGGATGGGGGGTTGGGTGGGGAAGGGGATGGGGTGGGGGAGGGAGAAGGGGAGGAGGAGGGGGGGGAGGGGATTGGGGAGGAGGAGGAGTTTGAGGTGGCGGTCGAGGCGGGGGACTTTGATGAGGACAACATCGACGGCGAGGGGTCAGTGGTTTTCTGTCTCTGCCTTCCCTCCTGTCTCTGCTTGCTCTTCCGTCCTGTTCTCTTGTCTCCTGCATCTGAGTTTCCAGTCGACTCAAAATCAGTTTGAGGTGGCGGTGGAGGCGGGGGACTTCGATGAGGACAACATTGATGGGAAGGGGTCAGTGCACTTCTCTCTCCCCCTGCTGTACCTCCTGCCCCTTGCCTTGCTTCCTGCCTATTTTGTCTATTGCATCTGAGACTTGAGTGGTGGCGGTGGAGGCGGGGGACTTTGATGAGGACAGCATCGATGGGGAGGGGTCACTGCACTTCTTCCCCTGCTATTCCTCCTGCCCCTTCGCTTTGCCTCGTGCTTCTCTTGTTTCCTGCATCTGATTCTTGAGTGACTCGAAAGGAGTCTGGGGTAGCGGGGGAGGCGGTTGATGATGTCAAGCTACATGGAGAGGGGTCAGTAGTGCCTCTTGCCTCCTGCCCTGCCTTGCCTCCTGCCGCCTCACCTCAATCACATTTGTCATGCTCAATTTACGTCTTGGTGGTTCCTTCATACGTGTCTATCCTGCCTTTCGTCGTCCCTCACCCCTTGCCTTGCCTTGCTGCCACACAGGCCTTCTTGGTGAGCCAAGCACATGTCAAGCACATCGCTACCATACTCCACAGCAACACCGGTACTGTACCGGTACATGCCACGATTATTTGGTCTGTTTGCGTCATGAGCACAGCAGCATGGGCCCCACGTTTGCCGCAGCCGTTGCTTAGCGCATTGCTGGATCGGCAATGCTTTGCTTGTGTTGTTTAATCTCAATGAATGATAGCACATCGCTGAAAAACATAAGCTACTAACATCACATGTACACCATAAAGAGCTGTAGTGTACCAAACGGCCTCATCTTCTGGAAACCTCAAACTCTTGCAGGTACTCGGGGTTGTGGGGGTAGTCTAGGCCGTGCAGCACTGGCATTCTGCGCAGGTCCTCTGGTGAATACATTGGTAGGAACCAGTACCTTCTATCCATGCCGAATACCTGGTGTGGCATACGCGGTGTGGATGACAGAGGGACACATGGACACATGCACACAGAAACACACAAACAGACAAGCCCAACAGAAGAATTCAACACGCGAACGGAGACCGGCAACAACCCTATGTGCCCCTGACAAGTCCATGAACCACAGGCCAAGAGCAAAGGAGTCAGGGGAGGAAAGTGAGTGTGCCTGCATGTGCACACACACACACACAAAGACAGGACACGGCACGCTCCCTACCTGCTCGAAGTTCCTTCGCCTGCCCAGGTCGTAGCGCCATCTGTGCGACCCCCTCTTCTCAAACGCCTGCATGCCATGGCATGGCAGCAGCGGGGGGAGGGGGGGTGTGGGGGGGAGGAGGGGATGCACAAGCGTGACTTTTGAGTCGACTCAAAAGTCACCTGGAGGGGATGCACAAGCGTGACTTTTGAGTCGACTCAAAAGTCACCTGGAGGGGATGCACAAGCGTGACTTTTGAGTCGACTCAAAAGTCACCTGGAGGGGATGCACAAGCGTGACTTTTGAGTCGACTCAAAAGTCACCTGGAGGGGATGCACAAGCGTGACTTGATGGGGGGAACAGGGCAGCTCCTACGCGTGATGGTGTAGTGAGTGTGATGGTGTAGTGAGTGGGATGGTGTAGTGAGTGTGATGGTCTAGTGAGTGTGATGGTGTTGAGTGTGGTGAGAAGAACATGGCGTGGCAGCGGGAAGTGAAGAGAAACAGGCAATACCTTCTTGCAAATGGTTCACTAGCGCGTGGGAAATCGCACCAGAGAGGGCAAAATGCAGCACGCGGAAGGATGTACGTACCTCGATGGTGGTGGTGTTGCCGAGCACGAGCGACACGTGCATGATGAGGAATCCCAGCAGGCTCACGGCGAATGCTATGTTCAGCACTGGCGAGAGGGGGGAGTGGAAAGGGGAAGAGGGGAGGATTAAGTGGCGGATGGGAGAGGAACGGAGGGGAAGAAGCAGGACGTACATAGTGGGTGGGTGTGTGAATCTGCGAATGCAGTAGGAAGGACGTCCAAGGCATAGGGGAGGGAACGAGGGGGAGGGAGGAAAAAGAATAGAGGGCATAGCAGGGAGCGGGGGCCGGCCGGGACATACCGAAGGAGAGGAAGACGGTGGCGAGCTTGGTGGCGTCGTCGCTGGCGGAGGGCGGGGTGGTGAAGAAGTCTATGAAGTGCGGCAGCAGTGCCACCGCCACCACTGCTGTCTCTACAAATGTGTAGAACTGCAGTGCATGGACCGGCGACGCAGGGGGCAGGCGGTGACACACACAGGGAAGGGGTTGGGTGGTGATGGGGCTCAGTGGGGCGTTGGGAGAGGGGATAAGGGAGTGGGAGACGGGATTTGGAGTGGGAGAAAGCATAGGGAAAATACAAGTTGGGGTAAGCTGCGTGGAATGGGACAGAGGAAGAACGATCTGATGAAACGGGGTGCTTGGGATGATCAAGATTAGGGGTGGGAGAGCATGAAAGGAGGTCGGGAAAGCAGAGCAAGAGAACGAGAGGCAGACTGACAAGGAAGAGCAGGAATTGCTTGTAGTTCTTAGCGCCAACGCAGTTGATCACCCACACGCAGTGGTGGTCCATCTTCAATATGCACCGCCCACCTGGTAGACACGTGATGGTGCGGTGGGGTGGGGAGGAGTGGAGAGGGGTAGGGTACAGGAGCGGCCGTTCAGGAAGAGACGTGATGGTGTGGGTGTATGGAGCGAGAGGGCGCATGGGTGTGGCAGCGTGCACAAGAGAGTGAGTGCAGCGAGTGCAGCAGTGATGCGACGGAGCCACACGAGTGAGATGAGATGCACGCACACACAGGAACATAGCCATTCAAATCAAAGACAGAGTCGCAGAGGCAGCGAGACGCACAGACAGAGCAGTGGTGCGCTCGAGGCGGTTTGAACTGCAGGCACCGCTTGCACCGCCGAATCTCCACTGCCCCGCTCGCCATCCCCGCGTCCGCCCTTCCGTCTCTCCCCCCAATCATCCCTGCAACCCCTCCCCGCGGCACTGCCTGCGACTGCTGCTGCGGCTGCTGGTGGTCCTGCTGCTTCCCTCCGTTCTCCATGCCCGCCCTGCCGCCCGCGGGCCCCACAAGAGCAGCACGAGGGTCATCCATTGCTGAGCTGTCATCGTCATTATCGCGATCGTCGGATGCTGACTCGGACAGGCCGCCAGCGCTTGCCACGCTGGCAGCGGAGCCTGACCGACCAGAGTCAGCAGCAGCAGAGGCGGCGGCAGAAGGGGGGTAACTCCCAAGGGCGGCTTGCCTGTGGGTGTCTAGGGTTTGCAGCGACTGAGCCTCGAGATCATCGTCGCCGCGAAAGAAGGGATGCCAGTCGGGTGGTACACCACCAGGGTCCGTGAGCACGACGGAGAAGTAGCTCCAGAGCAGCATGCCGAGCTGGGCGGGGGGTGGGGGGGAGGGGGGAAGAGACGAGAGCGAGACGACGGAGAGAGCGAGGGAGAGAGGGGAGAGAGCGGAGGAGACAAGGGGCAAAGAGGAGGAATAATACGGATTTCACGCTGTGAATTCAACAAGTCTCGCGAGAGGCGGGTACTGCGGAACTTGGTGGGTGCATAAGCAAGCTGATGCAGACGAATCACAAGCGGGGATCGATCGTGGAAGGGTGTGACGAGGCGGGCGAGGAGGCTTACGAGGCCGTGGAAGACGGCGAGCACGAGGAACGCAATGAACGACGTGGAGCCTCCCTTCGATAACTCAGGGCCGTAACTCGCGATGACTACAGCGTAGTAAGTAACCGCGACTATAGCGAGGACGACGAGGATCATAATGGATCCGAGAATCTTCAAGCCTGTGCAGAACTTGAACGCGTTCCACGCCATCGCAAATCTCGTAGTAGATAGTAAGTTCTCCACGAGATGTAAGCCTGCTCTAGTGCCTTTGGCCCAGCTCCGTTAATTTCGACGCCCTTGGTCTCTATCTCCGATTTTTTAGACCGTACAACTGGCAGTTTCGACCTGGTGGCTACCGCACCGCCATAGCTATATTCCGCAACTGCTGCTGGTAAGGTGCAGTCGCACAGATCCCTAGGTTCCCACTTTCGACTGAACGTGAAGCGCAGCGGAACTCCCTTAGGATGATACAGCATCCAAGTTCGAATATGAAAGATTGGACAATGCAAAGCACTATACATCAGTTGGATATATGTAGCGGGAATTTTATACACTCTCACCCTTGCACATCTATTTTATATCTTTTTCCGATCTCCACGCCTTGTTCCGCTATGAGGTGACTTGACAGAGCGTGTGCCAACGCTGTCGAATTGCAGACTCAGCTTTCTCGAGTCAGCACGAACACATCAGAAGCCGCAAGCCAATCAGCGCCGAAGACCGACATTTAAAACCTGTAAGTCCACACCGCGGTTCGCAATATTGACTCTATATCGAGGGCATTCGCATACCGTCACATCAGTCCATGTCGCATGTCAAATGGTTGCGCGATTCCAAATGCAGGCGCACATTTCAATGGATCAAGCCAATTTGCCCCCACCCAACCCAGCATTCCTTGACTGGCTTCCGCCTTGCATTGCATCTCCCTCCCTCCTGCCACTCCACCCGCCCAACAAGTACACAGACATCTGGCTCGCTGCCGCCACCGCCATCGTTTGTTCACCCTGGAACGAGCAACAGTTCCACCCTGGGTTTCTTCCCGCTTCGACCTAGAGCACGTGGCACCTACTACCTACATCCAAGAGCATTTCTCGCATCGATCCATTTCATTCCATCCTGAAATAAAACCTCGCGAAGTTCACGTTAGTCCCACCCACCAAGCTTGTCTCCAGTAGTTATCCTCGACAGTCGAAGCCAGTTTAATTTAGACAGGCGGCCACCTTAAAAACCAGGCTAAAATCTCGTCTTCACTACCTAACCAGAACACACTCATGGTCTCGCCAGTCGCGGCAGAGCGAGGCGCAGCGAATCAAACATGGCAGTCACTTCGTGAGTCAGTAGTGCCGGCGGCCACAGAAACCAAGTCCGTGGCTGACTCCAAGTCGGCAATCTCGAGGGTCGACTCGTGGGTCGACGACCACCTGCTGGTGCCACCTCCCCCAGCCGAGCCCGATAAGAGCGACGGCGACTTCGGCGACGTCGCAGATGGTGTCGCCGACGGCGGTGTTCCCGCGGACCCGCTCACGCGAAAGGTCGCAGCGTTGGAGGTGGAGAACTGCGAGATGACCGGGCGAGTCGCTGGGCTGGAGGCGATGCTTCGCGAAAAGGAGCAGGAGTCGCACGAGCTGCGTCGTCAGCTGCTGGCGATCACTCGCGCGCTGGAGGAGGGCAGCCACGCCGACACGCTGTCGCGCGCGGAGCTCCTCAACCAGGTGCTCAGCCTAGCCAATCAGGTGAAAGAACTTTCCGACGAACGCGCGGCGCTGCTCAGCGCGCCTGGCGGCGTGGCATTTAACTACGGCCTGGGGGGCGGGTCTAAGAAGTCCGTCGCTTCCGAAAAGGCCCCAGAAGAACATCCCGTCGGAGAATTTGCAGGTGTCGAGGAAGGAAGTTCTGCAGATATTGAGGACAAGCCGGATGAGCCAGCAGCAGCGGATGCTGCGCGGGTGTCGAGCTACCGTCCTCCGCCGGCAGAGGCTCTGGTACCCGCGTCTGCTGCGGAAGAAGAGGATCATGGCACGGAGCCGCTGTCCTCGGCGCCGTCAGTGGCGCCGTCGATGACGCCTTCGCGGCCGGGCACGTCTCTCTCGTCGCGATCGCAGCAGCTCATTCCGCGATCGTACACCATGCCTGTCCTCGCCCCGTCGGGACCGTCGTCCCAATCACGCCTGTCGGCGCTCCCCATGTCAATAGTACCGTACGACCCCGCTACTGCCGCCGAGAGCATGGCAAATGTAACGGCGCCGATTGCAGGGGCTATTGTTCCGTACCAGCCGCCGGGCGGTAGTCTAGTGGCAGGGGAAGTTGAAGGCTCGGAAAGCGCAGTTGTAACGTACATGCCCCCAACGGGCCCCAGCGTTCGATCCAATCCGTTCGACCGGCCGAACACGTACGAGATGAACCGCCCGCAGGCATCGGGGCCGAGCGCGAAGCCGAGTCGCGTGCAGAGCTTCGTGCCGTCGACTGTCCCTGAAACGGCAGCTGAAGGAGCCACGTCCGGCCTCGGCGCAATGCGCGGGGCGATTGCGACGCTGATTCGTTGCGGGACGCGTCCAGAGGTCCGCGAGATTCAGATTCGGCACCTGGAGAAGCTGAACCGGTCCAAGCGGGTGACCCCAGAGGATATCTTCGCTGCTATTCAGTCGAGATGCCTCACCATTCTGGCGCAGGTGAGAACTGCATCTGGTGTTTCATCGCTAGCCAGACAGGCATCGCCTACATTCTTGTAAAAGGTTTTCCTGGTGTTGCATTCGGCTAGCAGGAATGTTCCATGCTGACTGCATGCTGACATATCTTTCTCTCTCTTGTCTTGGTTTGTATCCTGGTCAGGTGGAACCTCCTTCAGGATTTAACATTCTGGGCGTGAAGGTCAAGATTCCCCGCAAACTCACCTCCATCTCTTCCTCCATCTCCCTCACCTCTACCTCCTCCGCCTCTACCACTCCTTCCAACATCCGGGTCACCGACTCTGAAGCCAAGTTCCTCACCAGCCCCTCAGTAGAACTCGTGGCATTCCTGTTTGCTGCCGTTGTCACGCACGCATGGGCGCCGATTGAGTGTTTTCCGGCCATAATGGAGCAGATGGGCAACATGTATGTGCGGCGGCTGCTCATTGTTGATTTCCTGGATGCTGCCTTCAAGCGCGTGGGCCGGCTGGGAGTGGATGCCCTGGTGCAAGATCTACGGGGAATAGACAGGCTGCTGGGAGTGAATGAGGAGAGGCTGCCTTCAGTCAAGGAGCTTAGCAACTGCAAGGTGAGTTGCTTTGGAAGAGGTGACGTTGTTTGATTTGTCAGTGAACTTATGTTTCTGGAACCTGGTTTGGTTGTGCAGGTTCTGGTCATGATTCACAGCAAGGCTGGCCTCCAGTGGAAGAAAAAATGGGTTTTTGGGAAGTAGGACTAGCATGGATTATGCTTATGTAGAATGTATGGAAGATTTATGTTGCTCACTTTGTATTGTGTCTAGGGCTGTGTAGATTGGACGTTTTTTAGGTGTGGGAAGTTATTTCATTACACAAATATCAACACATCAAAATATCGAACTGATTCGGAAAGCGTATGCTACTGTATATCACTGTTATATGTGCAACTGAAGGAGCGACTGAAGATTGCACTAGAGTCAATCGAGTACAAATGTGAGTGAATTCATTGAGCAAACATTCATAGAAAAAAACAGTAAACAGTACGGTAATGCGGTACGTGCATGCTAGCTAGTGTGATGCTTGCAGCGAGGTTCGAGCTACCCAAAGTGTAGGCCATGACCCCATTCCCCTTCGGGCTAGTGCGCAGACTTGGACCCACTCCATTCGAGGAAGTCACTCGGACCCTGACCCCGTTCCCCTTCGGACTACATGGTCTGCTCTCCCATAAGGCCATCCTTGAACGAGACTATCTTCCCTCCTTCATTCCCCCGCGGGCACTGGATGAACTTCAAGGCCTCCTCGCTCTCCCCCTACTTATCCAAGGCCCACCCCTGCGCATGCAATGCATCCTTACCGAACCTCTCGCCTTCAACCGGCTGCTCCTCAAACCCGACGAGAGACCTTTCGGCACCCGCCAACACGAGCGATTCCTGCTTACACGACAACCCCGCATCGGACACATTGTCCGAATCACCAACTTCGACGTCAGCCCCATCTCTGCTCAGGAATTCTGCTCCCATCTCCCGGCAGAATTCCATGACGACGCCACACGTCTCCTCCCAGATCTCATAAAGGCTATCAAGCCTCCCTGGTGGGCCGGCCTACGATCCCCTCACTCGTCCTCTGCCTCCCCCGGAGATTGGTTCATGCTCTCGGATGATCACTACTCCATATCTCACCTCGTTATCCAGGTCGCCGCTTTCTTCCCCCCCTCTACCGTCTCGTCTCGGCTACTGTCCACCCCGTCTCGCCCAACCATCGCCCAATCAATACCGGACTCTTCCGTTTACAGGACCTCCTTGAGGTGTACGTCAGGGAATGGTGGCTCGCAGGGCCACTTCATACAGGGACTGGGTTAGGAGCTATGGTATAACTTCTACAGGACGGCATCCCCAACCCAGCCTCGCCGACATCCGCCGTCTCGTTTACTCCACACAGCCACTTACTCACCACAGTCGATGAACCCGAGACCTCACCCTTCCTCCTCCTCCTCTCCCTGGCCTCAAGGACCCCTTTCTCAAAGACCAGCCGAGCCGCCAACAGGATATCCTCTTCAGAATCTACACACTAACTCTCCCCTCTGGATCACGCTCCCAATATTTCAACGACCGAGGGGTGTGTCCCCGGTGTCCCGCTGCCGTTGTAGAGACACTGCCGCATATCTTCTTCGAATGCGCCTCCGCCGGAAATGTCATCTCTGCTGTGCGCACAGTCGCTGACCGTCACCTCGGACAAACCTCCCCCGCTGAACACATCTTCTTCCCTATACAGTCACGGGTTGGACAGTCTCCCCCATGGAGCTTACTAGTTGGAGCAGCAGCCAAGACGCAGTGGAATAGTCGCTGTGACCGCAGGTACCGCAACTCCTCCTCCTCGAGCTTCGAGATACTGCAGCTCATCTTAGCCCAATTCCTAATTGCCTTCAAAATCTATATGTGGAGAGGCAAACGTCAATCGGCCAAGAAACGTCAACGTATATCATCCAGCATCAAGCGAGCACATAAACTCCGACTTCTCCTCTTCGACAGGACCGGCACACCCTCTATCCAATCCACCCCGACCTAAGGTTCTCCTGGCTCTTGGGAAATCCGTTCCGACCACCATAGTCACCCATCGCATAGAGCGTCTCCCCAGGCAGCTGGCGGTTGTCCGCGAGGACAAGAAATATTGTGTGTTCCACGTGCTCCGCTATGGATGCTGGCCACCTCGGCCATGTTTCTAGACTCCTCTATGGATTACTCCTTGTACATTGATTACGATCAATATATAACCTTAACCTTAACCCAAAGTGTCGGCCAATCGGCAAAGTCTAGCACTGCGAGGTTTGGCATAAGCGACGCAATGTGGCGAACACTTCTAGGCGGTAACGAGTGAAGAAACGGTTGGGTCTTGTATATGCTGCTATGTGTGCAGAAAGGAATCCGGAATTTTATTCTTACAATCACTTTCTTGGCCTATATCAGCACATAGTTTCCTACATACTGTTGCTGGTTAGTATGAGCACACTTGGCCTATATCAGCAAAAAAAGAATTCCTACTCTATCATTGCTGGTTAGTGTCAGGTGGCTTGAGTCTCCGATATAAGGAGTTTTGTTGGTGTCAGGTCGGGTATTGCAGGTCTGTTGTAGCTAGTTTGGCGCGGGCGGGATGAATGTGTCAACGAGAGCTATTCTCTGTTTAGCAGGCGCCACGGGAAGCCCTGACTATGATTCCAAACCTGTAGTCAGGGCGAGTGCCCGAGTCTTCCCGAGACTCCCGAACATCGAGGCGCTTCGAAGCTGCACCCCGTCCCAAACCTGGGCTCACCGCTGAAGTGTGGGTCACGCCCCAACCAGACCTCTTTCTTTATAGAGGCTCGGTGCTCTGACGGCTGGTTCGTGCGTCAAGCGAAATCTGCGAAGGGCGTCATCGCGACAGCTTCCATCCTTCACGCTGCACACGCTGTGCGCTACCGGCCCATCCTCCTGTCAACCGTGCAGAGGACACTTTTGAAGGGTGCGTGCGGGGAGGCTGCTTGCGCCAATTCCCAACCCCTCCCAACCACAACGCGCAGAAATTGTTCCGTTGGGCTGTGTGGCGTTCCGTTACGTTCGGTCAAGGCTCTCGACTCGACGTCGCTCGCCTGAGCCACGAACAGACAGACCGCCCCAAGCCCGTCACCTTCGGCCCCCCGCCTTGAGATTCTCCTCGCCAGCTGCCTTGGAGTTGGCGAGGCGGCTCTCCCAAACCAGAGTAGAAGCAGCGTGCGGGCATCCCTCGATATCCTCTCCTTCATTTGACATTCCAGCTCCAACCCTCTTGGGACTATCCTACGTGATGTTGTTCCGACCGAGTTAGTTGTGATCGAGGATTCAGTTATCGTACTAGTTTTTAGGATAGAGCCAAGTAGGTAGTGGCTGACTTGGGCTTTCGCTTCTTCGGTCTTCCCGGGGGAGGGCATGGAGCACAACACGGGCCTCGTGGCGGGGAGCCACAACCGGAATCAGCTCGTGGTCATACGCAAGGAGAATGAAAATGTAACAACTTTCTGTGAACATCCACGCTTTCTTAGGCGGTGTCTTCTCGTCCACCCCATAATTCTTCAGTAGTCAGTTGGCCGAATAGTACTTTCTTTTTTTACTCAGAGCTCGCCGTTTGCGTTCCTGTGCCATTGCAGAGCGCCAAGAGCGGCTTCAACCCGTCCGTCTGCCAGATTTGCGGCGACGATGTCGGCCGTACGGTGGAGGGCGACCTCTTCATTGCCTGTAACGAGTGTGCTTATCCCGTGTGCCGCCCGTGCTACGAGTACGAGCGCAAGGAGGGTAGCAGGGCTTGTCCTCAGTGCAAATCCTCCTACAAGCGACTCAAGGGTAAATTCACCCTAGTCATGCCCGGCTGTGCCTCCCCGATTCATGCTCCGCCTCGTCCTTCTTCGACAGGCTGTCAATTGCTAAGGAGCCTGAGTCATTGCGTTGGTATTTGCAGGAAGTCCTCGGATTGACACGGATGACGACGAGGATGATACGGATGACGTGGAACAGGAATTCGGCATCTCGGAGAACAGCAGCGGTCGGGATGATGGCACCCGTCGCGGCATGTCGCAGCAGCACGGGGATCCTCAGCACCAGGGCCAGCAGCAGATGCACCCGGATGGTTCTAACGCGTACGACTCGTACCACGTCGGATCGCACTACCCCATGCTGACGTCAGGGCAGGTGGACCCCGATATGAGCATGTCGTCAGATTACAACAACGCGGGCGCCATGGTCCCCGCCTCCGCGCTCCCCAACCAGGCGTACAACTACTCGCAGAGCAACGCCGGCGACATGTCCAGTAAGCCTCAACTCCTCCCCACCCCTTCGCTCCCTTTCCCGCTCCAATCGCTACCCTGCTTCCGTACGCATGCAGCGTTCTTCAAGTAAATACCCATCGACTCCCTTGTCTCCGCCACTCATCATCGTCGTCGTCTTCTCTCCCCCCGTGCGCACGTTCCCCCTTTCCGCGTTCCCGCAATCTTACCACCGCCCGGTTCCCGTCCGCGTCCCCCTTTCCCCCGCTCTCCCCCCGCGTTCCCCCGTAGTGGACGTGCGCGCGCTGGACCCGAGCAAGGACCTGGGCGACTACGGGTACGGCAGCGTGGTGTGGAAGGATCGCCTCGAGGCGTGGAAGCAGCAGCAGGGCCGCGGCGGGCCCATGGGCGGCATGGGCATGAACGGCGCGCCGCCCGCGCCGCCCGTCCCCGGCCCGGACCCCATGGACACGGCCGACCTGCCCAACATGGACGAGTCGCGCCAGCCGCTTTCGCGGAAGGTGCACTACCCGTCGTCGCTGATCTCCCCGTACCGGCTGATCATCATCATTCGGCTGTTCGTGCTCGCATTCTTCCTGCGCTGGCGGTGCCTGAACCCCGTGGATGGCGCGTGGTGGCTGTGGCTCATGTCCGTCATCTGCGAGGTCTGGTTCGCCTTCTCCTGGATTCTCGATCAGTTCCCCAAGTGGATGCCCATCAAGAGAGAGACGTATCTCGACCGGCTCGCGCTTCGCTATGAGCGGCGCGGCGAGCCGTCGCAGCTCGCGGCCGTCGATCTGTTCGTGTCAACGGTGGATCCGGCCAAGGAGCCGCCGATTACGACGGCGAACACGCTGCTTTCGATCCTGTCCGTTGATTACCCGACGGAGAAGGTGTCCTGCTACGTGCACGACGATGGTGGCGCCATGCTGACGTTCGACTCGATGAGCGAGTGCAGCGAATTCGCGAGGCGCTGGGTGCCGTTCGCGAAGCGTTACAAGATCGAGCCGCGGTGCCCCGAGATGTACTTCACGCAGAAGGTGGACTACCTGAAGGACAAGGTCGACCCGCAATTCGTCAAGGACCGCCGCGCCATCAAGGTACGCACAGAGCGACGAGCGAGAGACGAGGAGCGAGGATGGGTAGGGAGGTCGGGGTATGGAAGAAGGGGAAAAATCGTGTGGGACGAGACGGGGAGCAAGAGCATGGGCGAAATCGTTGTTCAGTTGACCTTGTGCCTCGCTGCGTCCGCTCACACGCGTCTCTCTTTACAAGCGTACGCCTGTCTTATTTCGAGTGCGCCCGTCTCATTCCCCGTGTGCGTGCAGCGCGAGTACGAGGAGTTCAAGATCCGGATCAACATGCTGGTGGCCAAGTCGCAGAAGGTGCCCGACGAGGGCTGGACCATGCAGGACGGCACGCCGTGGCCCGGCAACAAGTCGCGCGACCACCCGGGCATGATCCAGGTGTTCCTGGGTCCCAGCGGCGGCACGGACGTGGAGGGCAACATGCTGCCGCGCCTCGTGTACGTCAGCCGTGAGAAGCGCCCCGGATACAACCACCACAAGAAGGCCGGTGCCATGAACTCCCTGGTGAGATATTGCCTGGTCCGAGCCGAAGGTCCTTGCCCGCTCGCTTGTCCTTGTCCTTGTCCTTGTCCTTGTGTCTCGTGTCTCCCCCCATGCGTCGCCCACGCACTTGATTTGATCTTCGCTCCTCGCTTGCGCGCTGGTCTTTTCCACTCACTTCACCCCCGCACCTCCCCCAATCCTCCACAAACGCTCACCCGCAGATCCGTGTGTCAGCCGTCCTGACGAACGCGCCGTACATGCTGAATCTGGATTGCGATCACTACATCGCGGATAACAACGCATCCCCTTTGGCTCACTCCAACCGCTCTCCCTCCCCCCCTCCTTCCCCGACCTCCCTTTCACGCATGCAGATCCGCGTGTCAGCCGTGTTGACGAACGCGCCGTACATGCTGAATCTGGATTGCGATCACTACATCGCGGACAGCAAGGCGCTGCGCGAGGCCATGTGCTTCATGATGGACCCCAACGTCGGCAAGAAGTGCTGCTACGTGCAGTTCCCGCAGCGATTCGACGGCATTGATCCCAACGATCGATACGCCAACAACAACACCGTCTTCTTCGATGTAAGCCTCGCGCCCGCCTCTGAAAGAAGCGCTACATTGGTGTTGAAGCGTTTCAAGACTGTTTCGTGACGCTCTCCACATCCCATGCCTTACCGACTCTCCTCTCGTCACCTGCTACCCACCCTGAACCGTCACCTCTGCCTCTTACCCAACCTCTCCTGGCCCAATCCCTCTCCCCTTCCCCCTACGCAGATCAATCTGCCCGGGCTGGATGGCATTCAGGGGCCGTGCTACGTGGGTACCGGATGCTGCTTCCGCCGGCGCGCGCTGTACGGGTACGATCCGCCCAAGCCCAAGAACAAGCGCAACAAGTGCGGCGTGCTCTGCTCCTGCTTCTCCTGCTGCGGCGGCGGCGGGCGCGGGGAGAAGGGCGGGCGCAAGGGGCGCAAGGGCGACGAGGACGAGGGGACGCTTCCGCTGTACGACGGCGAGGAAGGTACGCTGACGTGGATGCTGTGCTCTCATCGATTTCATCCTTGCCCCTCCTTCGCCCCATCCATGAAAGTCCTACTCTCTCCTGCCATGGCATGTGGCTTCTCTCCTGTTAGGCCATTCTCCCTGCCCTTCCCTTCCCTCGCTAGGGCCTCACTCTGTCCGTTGTGTCCCTCCCTCCTCCCTTTCTGACAGTGGGCGAGGGCGACAGCCTGGTGGCGCTGAAGAAGTTTGAGAAGAAGTTCGGGCAGTCGCCCGTGTTTGTGCTCTCCACGTTCCACGAGGATGGCGGCGGAGTGGCGTCCGCCAGCCCGGGGTCGACGCTCAAGGAGGCCATTCACGTCATCTCGTGCGGCTATGAGGAGAAGACCGAGTGGGGCAAGGAGGTGCGTCCGTGCTGCTTCTGCTGCTGTTGACGCTCTCTCACTTCTCTTTCTCCCTGGTTTTAACACTTATGCTTTGCTCTCTCTTCCAAAAGCGCATTGTCTCCCTCCTCATCAACCGTCCCTCTCTTCCTCTTCTCGTCACTTGCTCTCCCTCCCTGCAGCTTGGCTGGATCTACGGGTCAGTCACAGAGGATATTCTCACGGGCTTTAAGATGCACTCCCGCGGATGGCGCTCCATCTACTGCAAGCCCAAGCGCCCCACCTTCAAGGGAGGCGCGCCCATCAATCTGTCCGACCGTCTGCAGCAGGTGCTTCGCTGGGCTCTGGGCTCAGTGGAAATCTTCCTCTCGCGCCATTGCCCCATCTGGTACGGCTGGAAGGGCAACAACCTCAAGGTTCTGCAGCGGCTGTCGTACACCAACACTGTGGTGTACCCGTTTACGTCCTTCCCGCTGCTAGTCTACTGCACCATTCCCGCCATCTGCCTGTTCACAAACAAGTTCATTGTTCCCGCGCTGGACACCACTTCCACGCTCTACTTTATTGCTCTCTTCATGACCATTTTCGCCACGGGTCTGCTGGAGATGCGGTGGAGCGGTGTGGGCATGACGGACTGGTGGCGCAATGAGCAGTTCTGGGTGATTGGAGGCGTGTCGGCGCATCTCTTCGCCGTGTTCCAGGGCCTGCTGAAGGTCCTCGCCGGTATCGACACCAACTTCACGGTCACGGCGAAGCAGGCGGAAGATGGGGAGTTTGCAGAGCTTTATCTGTTCAAGTGGACTTCTCTGCTCATCCCGCCGCTCTTCCTGCTCATCATCAACTTCCTTGGGATTGTCTGCGGCGTGGCGACGGCCATGAACACGGGCGATGGCAACTGGGGCCCGCTGTTTGGCAGGCTTTTCTTCTCCTTCTGGGTCATCATGCATCTGTATCCCTTCATGAAGGGTTTGGGCGGGCGCAACCAGGCGATTCCCACGATTGTCATTGTGTGGTCGGTGCTGCTCGCGTCCATCTTCTCGCTGCTCTGGGTTAAGATTGACCCCTTCTCTTCTACGGAGCCCAACCCAAGCGATAACCTGCAGCAATGCGGCGTGTCGTGCTAGGTGGAGCCATGGCTTGCTTGCTTTTCTGTTCCATTTGCTGCTAAGCTTGCCTACGAACAATATAGGTGTCTGGGCAATGACCAGCTGACAATGGTAATGCAGTAGCCTTTGAAGACCTGACTCTGTATCTTCGGGTGTATTTGAGCCTCATAATGATCGATTCAAGTCCATGGAACTTAGAAAAGCCAATGCTGATTGAAGAGAAGAAAACATACCGGTAGTTCTAAGTGCGCTACTGTAGTACCATAGCATACCATACGCAGATTAGCGCATAACCAACACGCAAAAAAATGCATCTGTACAAGTCAAAATCAGTTGGCGTCATCACTGGTTCATCCTACAAATCAAAGCTATCAAGTCATGCATTCAATGCAATGCACTTCCAATTCAGTACAACATTTCTGGCAGGGGTACTGGTACTAGTACAGAACTCCCTGAGCAGATCAAAAGCAGTGTTGTGTGAGTCATTGACCTTAGGAAAAGCATCTATGAAGGGCAGCGGAGACAGGCGGCAACCACCGAGCCCTTGCTCCATGCAACGACCCGTTCCTTTGCTTCTTCCCCACGGCACCTGCCTCCTGCCCTCCAGCTCCCCTCCCAGCTTCCCCAATCTTGTGGACAACACTGGTTAAGGCTTGCACAGCCCCTTCTCCCCTTGCTGCTGCCCCTGCTGCTGCGGCTGTGGCAACAGAGCTAGTGCTCTGGTTAATGTCAGTGCTCGTTTTCACGGCCTTATCAGTACTGCTGGTGCCATAGGCACTGTTATTGAGCGCACTGCTGGCTCCACTGCCGGATGTAAGCGATCGGCAGACAACTGCTGGTGTGTCACTGTCTTCGCTAAGAGTAACCGGGCTAGAGCTCTGCACCCGGTGTGCATGGTTGCTGTCGGGAGACAAGGCGAAAAATCTGGAGAGCAGTTGTGAAGGAGAGGAAACGAGAGGAAGGCGAGAGGGGGGAGATTGCCGGGGAGGTGGCGCCGCTGGGAGGGGCAGTGCAGAAGCTACTGGGGGCAGCAGGGTAGCGTGTGGCAGCAGCAGGGCATCGTGTGGCGGCAGCAGCAGAACAGTGTGAGGCGGCGGCAGCAGCGCAGTGTGAGGCGGCAGCAGGTTCAGGAGAGGGTACCCAGCGCCAATCGACAGGGGGATAGGGGCAGAGCTCAGGAAGCGCATTCACGCTCACCCCACGGCGATGCCCAGGCTTGCACGAGGCACCAGACGAGGAGGAACGTGCAGGAGCACCTCGTGGTGCACCTGCTGAGCCACCTGCTAGGACACCTGCTGAGGCACCTGGCGGGACACCTGAGGCACCTGAAGGAGAACATGACGCCTGTTCGCTCTTCCGCGGCGGAGCGCCATCTCTGTCCGAGCTATTTTCGCGGCCGTTTGGGTCAAAACGGCCGCTGCAGCCGCCATGGCTGGCGTCTGGCGGCCCGTACTCGCCCAGGTCGCCACAGCTGAAGCTGCGACTGTGATCTTCCGCCGACCAGTCGCGGCTGCGCGCAGTCTCCGCCGCCAGCACCACCACGGCCTGCGATTCCGGGTGGCGGAAGCTCTGCCTGCGCCACTCCGCCACGGAGCGCGCCAGCTCCGCGTTGGCCTCCCGCGCCATGCGGCGGAGGTGGCGGCGACGGCGGCGGCGCATCTCGTTTTCGTTGTGGATGTGGTGGTCCGCGGAAACATCAGGCGCAACCATGCCCTGGTGCGCCAAGTGGGTGATTTCATCTTGGGGAACAGCGCGCCAGTCAATAGCGGGGATGGGGCAAACAGTAGTGGCGTCCATTGCACCGGGGTGATAGTGCTGTTCTTCTGGAACGGATTCCGGAGAGTGGCGCTCAAAACACGAATTCCAGAAAAACCGAGAGTCTAAACTGCAGTACGACGACGACGACGAGGACAAGGCAGGCGGCGAGGTGAAGGCACGAATTCCGGAAATTACTTTCGAGTCAGAATGGGCTAGCAAGGTCAACACACGGCATGGCTGGGCGAGATAAACATAAAGAGCTTCCTCATTCCGGAGATCTCCTAAAACGGCACAGGACGAGCTGGGAGGGATGTGTGTCGAGTCGAATCGCCCATCAGCCCTCAGACGAGGTGAGCTCCTCCAACGTCTCAGTGACCGCGACGGATGGGAACGACGCGAAGATTCATTAACAAGTAACGAAAATCGGCTCAAGACTCAAGAGCGTCGGGTAGGTGACATCGACATCTTTACGTTCGCCTCAGTCCCTGTATGGTAAATGGGGAAAGGGAACAGAACGCCTGAAACGACATCAGAATCGATGAGCCATAGCTCACGTTGGCGAGTTGCGATGTTGGATCGCCATTGCATGATGCACGCACGTGCGACGCCGTGCACCTGTTGGCCGATAGTTTGGCGTTGAAGATATTCGTGTTATAGATTCGAGGTCACAGCCTACGGCAGGTAATGTAATGACGACGCCACCGCATGATTCTTTCGACGACACTATGTGGCTCCCGTCGAAGAGCGGTGATTCGGAGATACACGGGTCCAGACAGCCGGCCATAAATGGAATTTAAAAATATTTTCAGCAACAGCTGGCTGCACAGCTAAGAAAGTGAGGTGACGCCACTGTCCATGGTTGCATTGCAGGGACGAGGACGAAGGAAACGACGGGTGAGAGCAGACAGACTGTGCAGAGCAGACAGCGGAATGAACAAGAGAAAGAAGGGAATGGGGTACGGTTGGGAGGGTTGAGTTGAGGCGGAAGCGGAAGGGGAAGGGGAGCGCTGGCGGGAATCAGCACGTTACAGCGGAGCTGAATGATGAGCTCGAGGTGGTATGTGGAGGTTCCGTAAGGTTGGGCAGGTGATACAGTAAGTGTACAGTACAGTCGATGCTCAGCCTATGACAAAACATTTGCTCCCCACAATTAGAAATTTAGTCACTCTCGAACGTTTTGCCTGTGAGTGACTAAATTGACCATTGTACTCGGGGTACAGTCACCAAGTTGAGGAAGAAAAACATCTACAGCACAAAAACAACAACGGTTACCCGTCATCAGAGAAGTTAACCTGGTTACGAAATTAAAACCCTTGACTCGATTCTCGTTGCAATTTCATATTACTGTCACATTTTTGCCCGTGGCGACAAGGGCGAAAGTGGCGAAACACAACAAACCCGTTTCAAGCACATGCCGTCCGTCTACCTGGTGTTCTTGAAATGGACAACGCTTGTATTTCTGTGATGCCTATGGAGATTCGTGCAATACACGTGCAGATATGGATATCTCCGACTGTAAGCACTGTGCTGTTGGCTTCTGAGAAGCGGAAGGGCCGCGGAGACGAGTGAGTGTATTCTCACTTTATGACTGCTTAAAGGCGGGCTTCCGTTGATTGATTATTAGGCTCTGAATGTTTTGTTGTCTACGAGATGCCAAGCCACCATAAAATAGGCGGTGTGAAAATAGCAGCCAGGTAGTTTCAGGTGGTTTGAAACACTTAGCAAGTAGCCCCTACATGGTACTAGCATGTGAGATTATTCTGTGACCTGGTCTACACATGCAGATTTGTAAGACGAGGACACTTTCAATCTGTTTCAAGCAATAACATCTAACTCTATTCGGTTCAGCCTTGTGCTGAAGGACCAACAATGTCTCACAACATGTGCATAATACACCTGCAGACCAAATGCTGCAGTATCACGTTTGCGACCAATGTCACAATATCTGCTCATATTGTGCCCTGTAGTCGTGTTTTCTGATCATATGTGCATGCTTAACCCTCAAACGGTGTTTTGGAATGATGAGTGCTTGGGTGTGGGTGTTGCTATGGATTTGCTAGGCACAAGCAGCAACAGTGGCGGACCTAGGAGGCAGGAGGCAGGAGGGAGGAGGCAAGGACAGTGGAAAGTGGACGTGGGTGGCCTAGTGCCAACAAACGACAAGGTGATTCATTCACTCACACCGGGCATTGTCTATTCAATGGTTCACTCGTTGCCTGCAAGTAATGGAGGTGCGGGGAGACAAGACAGCATGGTCACATGAAGAAATGGTCATGTTAAGGAATGATCACACAAAGGAATGGTCAGACTCGTACCTACCTGCACACTCTGCGTGGAAGCTAGGATCATGGAGAAAAGCGTGCAACGAGCAAGAGAATGGGAGACATGGGCAGAACAGAGAAAAACACCCCCGAAAAATGTATGGCGTGGAAGAATGGCGGGACTTACAAGGGAGACGAGGAAGGGCAGCAGAGGTGGAGGGAGAGGAGGGGCGGAAACGTCAGGTAGAGCTGCTGGAGCGCAGGTGAGTGACCTTGCCTATCGCCACCGTCTTGCCTGGCAGGGGGAGGGGGAGCGGGGCAGGGGGATGGGGAGAGGGGCAGGGAGTTGGGAAGATGTGAGGAGGAAAAGCTTAAGGCAGAGCTGCTGGAGCGCAGGTGAGTGACCTTGCCTATTGCCACTGTCTCGCCTGGCGGGGGGAGTGGCGTAGAGGGGGATAGGAAGAGGGGGAGAGAGGTGGTAAGACGTGAGGCGGAAGATTGTCAGGTAGAGCTGCTGGAGCGCAGATGAGTGACCTTGAATATTGCCACTGTCTTGCCTGGCGGGGGGGAGTGGCGTGGAGGGGGATAGGGGAAGAGTGAGAGGAACGGGAGATGGGGAGAGGTGAGGGAGCGAAGGGCATGAGAGGGGTGAGAGGCGGATATGGGTGAGCAGTGTGGGAAAATGCAGTTTGCACACACAGCATCATGCACAGCATGGCATTTTGCATGCACGGGAGGGAACAAGAAGCAGCAACGCTGGGTGTGCAAGGCAGGGCAGCGCGGGGATGAGAATGGTGTGTGTGTGTGTGTGTGTGTGTGTGTGTGTGTGTGTGTGTGTGTGTGTGTGTGTGTGTGTGTGTGTCAAAGGCCACTCACCCTCGTCGCGCAAAGTGAAGCGGCCGAGCTGAGGGAAGTCTGAAAACTTCTCCACACAGATGGGGTCGCTCACCTGGGGGTGGGGGTGGGTTGGATAGAGAGAGAGAAGGGGGGTGGGTGGATGGGGGTGCGTTAAAAAAATCTCAAAACCAGAGTGAGGCGGAAGAGCTGAGGGAAGTTGGATTTTTTTCCACACAGATGGGGATGGAGTAAGGGGGATGGGGAGAGGAGGAGAGTATGGAACGGAAGGGATGGGAGTGGGGAAATGGGGGTGGGAGCCGGAGGGTGGGAGTACGTGGGTGGAGGTGTGGGGTTGGGAAAATGGGGGGGAGAACAGAGAATGGGAGAGAGAGAGAGAGGGGATGAAGCACGGGAGCTGCAAGGCAGAGGTCATATGAGAAAAGGTGTACGTGTGTGGGTGTGCGTGCATGTATGCCTCTCAGGTGCCCTCGACCGCTTACTCCTTACCCCCTCACCTCACCCCTCACACCCCCTCTCTCATTCACACCTGGATGCGCACAACCACGATAGCGCCGCTCTTCACAAAGAGCGGTTTCTTCTTCATGGGCTTCTTGGTCTTGAGGTCCGTCTGCTGCAGCAGGCTGATGATCTCACACTCCTCCACCACGCTGTGCACATGCAGCACCGCTTTGTACCCCGCTGTGAAGATCGCCTTGTGATCCAGAAGCTCCAGGATCTGCCGGGCAAGGAGACAAGTGGGGGAGAGGGGGGGGGAAGGAGGGGGAGAGGGAGGGGTCAGATGGAGAAGGGGGAAAGGGAGGGATGAGAGGGAGAAGGGGGAGAGGGAAGAGGGAAGAGGGAAGGGGAGAGGGAGGGAGGGGTTCCAGCATACGGGAGGGCAACGAATCACAACAACGAATGGGTGCATTGGAATGGTGAGAAAGTGACTCGGTGCCAGCAACGAAAAGCTAAGCCAAAAAAGAGAGTTACCTGCAGCTGAGCATCAAACTCTGCGCACAGTCCGTCCAAACTTGTAGCAGCTATGAGGTTGGAACAAGCACGGGAAGGCGAGGTGGGGAGGCGAGGGGGTTACCTGCAGCTGAGCGTCAAACTCTGTGCACACTCCAATGGGGCGCTCTGCAGGGATGGTCGCAGGGAGAGCGGAAGAGGAGGGGAGATGGTTGAGAAATCACTCGCAGAGCGGAAGAGGAGGGGATATGGTTGAGAAATCACTCGCAGAGCGGAAGAGGAGGGGATATGGTTGAGAAATCACTCGCAGAGCGGAAGAGGAGGGGAGATGGTTGAGAAATCACTCGCAGAGCTGGGTGCACAAAGGGAAGAGAAGTGAGGGGACTGCTAGTGGGGTAGCGGTAGGGGTGAGGAGAGGCAATGGTTTGAAAATGGGGTGAGGAGAGGCAATGGTTTGAAAATGGGGTGAGGAGAGGCAATGGTTTGAAAATGGGGTGAGGAGAGGCAATGGTTTGAAAATGGCAAGAGGGAGATGCTACGGGCTTTGAGAATTCTCAAAAGGCGCCACATTGGTGATTGCGGCGAAATGAAGTGGCGGGTTGACGAGATGTGGTGGAGGGGACAAGCGGAAGAGAGGAGAGCAGAGGAGAAGGCACTGACTGCGGGAGGAGAGCACGAAGCCGGCGGAGATCTCCTCCTCCTCGATGCCTGTGAGGCGCACCCGGAGGTTCTCCCCTGGCAGGGCGAATGTCACCTCGTCGTTGTCGCGGTATATCGTCACCACCTTGACCACCGTCTGTGGGAGGTCGGAGAAAAGTGGGGTGGAAGGAACGGAGAGGGGGGACAAAAGCAGGGAAATAAGGGGCAAGCAAGGTACAAGAGAAGCGCACCCGGAGGTTCTCCCCTGGCAGGGCGAATGTGACCTCGTTGTTGTCATGGAATACAGTCACCACCTTCACCACCGTCCGTGGGGAGGGGGAGGAGGGGGGAGAATAAGGGAAAGCAAGATACAAGAGAGGGTAGTATGATAAGGAATATGGTTGAAACTGGATATGACCTGACTTACTCAACATGGCCTGCCTTACCTCATTAAGCATGGCTTGCCGTATTTGGCAAGGCTTACCTTATTGGGCATGACGGTGAGTGTGTCGCCTCGCTTGATGCAGCCGCTCTCCACCTTGCCCATGACCACTGTTCCCATGTCTCTGTACTTGTCTATGATGGGCATTCTGGTGGGCACAGAAAGAGAGGCACACGGGAAAGGGAAGAGGGGGAAGAGAGGAGGGGAAGGGGGGGAGCGGAATAAGCACATAACCCATTAGCCGCTCTCCACCTTGCCCATCACCACCGTGCCCATGTCTCGATACTTGTCTATGATGGGCATTCTGGTGAGGGAGGAAGAAGGGGGAAGAGAACGGGGGACCGGGGGAGGAGAGGGAGTCTCGTCTTAGCTCGTGGCGATCCAGTTCAGCTCGAGCCCATATAGAGCTCATATGAAACGAAACGAAACGAGTTACGACTCCCCTGACGGGCCAACGTGCGATGCACCCGATGGGAAATGTGGTACTGACAGGGAATGAGGTACTAGCGGAGAATGAGGTGCGTATCTGACGAGGCCTTCCGAGTCACGGTCAGGCGAGGCGAGGGCGTCGAGCACTTCAAAGAAGCACGGCCCGTCCTGTCATACCACGCCACGACACACCATACGCCCTTCTTTACCTGCGTGGTGCGTGGCACACACGTCCTTGCCCACCCGCGGTGCCTACCACCGGCTCGGCTCCAGCCATTTACATGCCATGCCAATGATGAGAACCAAGGTACGCACCTGACGGGGCCCTTGGGGTCGCGGTCGGGCGGGGCAAGGGCGTCGAGCACTTCAAAGAAGCACGGCCCGTCGTACCACGGGCACACCTCCTTCTTCAACCGATCCTTCATGTTGGCGCCCTGAATGCCCGAAATGGGTAGGTACTGCACGTCTGCAAGCATGGGGGGAAGAGCGGTTGGGGGGAAGAGGGAGGGGAGATGAGAGTGCGGGTCGCTCCTTCATGTTGGCGCCCTGGATGCCCGATATCGGCAGGTACTGCACGTCTGGTTGGGGAATAGAAGGGAGAGCGCGGGGGAGGGTACGAGGGAGAAGGGGGGGGTGAGAATACTTGTGATATGCACAGGTGAGGCAAGAGTGGAGTGGGAAAGAATCATTGCACACACACACCAACTTCCTCCCCTCCGCCTTTTTCATATCCAGAGAAAGGGATCAAATCAAAAAAAGTTTTTTTTTTCGCAATCGCGCCGGGACGTACCTTTCTTGGTGTTGTAGCCGCACTGCTTGAGGAAGGGCGTGAGCTTGGTGACTATCTCGTCGTACCTGCCATGATGGCAGTGCGGTGGGGGGGGAGAGGGACGAGGAATGAGCGCAGGGCAAGAAGACGGAGCAGGTGAAGGGAACTGGAGGAAGGAGCAGGGAGAGGAGGGAAAGGCGGTGGAGGGGACGAGAGGAAGTGCAGGGGGGAAGAGGGAGGGAGGGCAGCGAAGTGAAAAACGAGACGGGCGTGAAGGGCAGGTAAGGGTGGCAGCCATCCCTCTCTCTCTGCTTGCTTCACTCCACTGCATGGAAAGTCGTCCATCCTGGTCACCACCACCACCAGCTTCACCCATCCACACCCCCCCGATTGCCCCTATATACTCCCATCCTCTCCCAATATCTCATCTCTCCTCCCTCCCCTTCCCATTCCCCCCCCCTTCCTCTCACCGCACCTGGCTCCACTGCACGGACAGGTCGTCCATCTTGTTCAGCACCACCACGAGCAGCAGCTTCACGCCGTACTCCATTACGCCCATACCTCCCTGAGTCATTCCCCTTCCCCCCACCCTTCCCACCACACCCCACCCTCACCCACCGCTCCTGGCTCCAGTGCACGGACGGGTCGTCCATCTTGTTCACCACCACCACCAGCTTCGACACACCAAGCGTCTTGGCGAGCTGCGCGTGCTCGCGCGTCTGCCCTCCGCGCTCAAAGCCTGTCTCAAACTCGCCCTTGCGCGCCGCTATCACCAGCACGCCCACGTCTGCCTGTGACGCCCCGCTGATCATATTGGGCACATAGTTCTTGTGACCCTGGGGGAATTAAGGTGAGGAGGCAGACAGGGAGAGAACGATAGTGAAGATCAAAAGAGAGAGATGTGATTGAAAAATGGGAGCAATTGCAAAAGGCTAGACTGTACAAGTATGGCACGGCACCATTCTGCGAAGCTTTATTGAATATCTTTACAGACGCATCCAGGATGGTGACTCACAGGTGCATCGAGGATGGTGTATCGCTTCTTCTCCGTCTCGAAGTGCGCCCGACCGACCTCCACCGTCTTGCCCTGCCGTGGTGAGGGGAGAGAGCAGCACGAGAGAGCAGCACGAGAGAGCAGCAGGGAGAGGTGGAGAGCAGAAGCGTGGAAAAGAGGCGCTTTGTGAGAGGAGCACTTGTGGCAGGGCACGTGTCCCTTGGTGTGAAGAAGAGAGCCAGGGCTATGAGTGTTCAACATGCAGTGGTTTAAGGAAAACGAGCAACCACATTCACGACCCCGCACCCGGACACCCCAGAGCACCCCAGTGCACACCAGAACACCCCAGCAAACCCCAGAGCACCCCAGAGCACCCAGAGCGCCCCACCTTGGCTCGCTCCTCCTCGTTGGTGTCCATGATGTATGCCATGTACCTGCCATGCTCACATGCACGCACACACATGCACACATACCATGCCATGCATACAAACCATGCATGCTCTCGCACACACATGCACATACCACACACGCACACGCAAACGCACACACGCACGCACGCCCCACACTATTATGAGGCGTCACAACGAGGAGGGAAACGAGTCATTTCATCATATTGGGCCTTCATCTTCATCCTCCTCCTGGGCCCTCACCCCAACCTCCCTCTCTCCTCCTCTGTAACCCCCCACCCCATCCTGCCAACCATTCCAAGCGCGCAGCGCACCAGCTCTTGCGGTTCTTGCCTTGGCCTCCCAACCCCCCTCCCCCCCTAGCTATCCATTCCACCCTCCCCACTCGCCCTCTCACCCCAGCACGACAGCTCCCACTCTCCCCACATCACCCCAGCGGCCAGCGCACCAGCTCTCGCGGTTCTTGTCTTTGGCCTCGCAACCCCTCCCCCACCCATCCACCCCAGCACACCAGCGCACCAGCTCCCACTCTCCCCACATCACCCCAGCGCCCAGCGCACCAGCTCTCGCGGTTTTTGTCTTTGGCCTCGCGCTCGTATTTCTGGATGGTGCGCTCGTCCACCATGTTCGCCAGGTACAGGATCTGCCCTCCGATCGTCGACTTGCCCGCGTCTGCCACGCAAGGTGGGGGGGCGCGCAGGGTGGGGGTGGATGGACCAGGGACATATAGTGTGAGTGAGGGAGCACAAGCAGCCTCATGGTCTGGTCTGGATGGTGCGCTCGTCCACCATGTTCGCCAGGTACAGTATCTGCCCGCCGATCGTCGACTTGCCCGCGTCTGCCACAAGGAGGGCGCGGAACATGCAGGGTGGGTGGGGGGAGCGCGCACGGTGGATGGAGCGGTAAGGGCAACCCGCAAGAGGAGCCAAAATTTCAGAGGGAGAAGGCACGAAGCACGGGCACATTGACTGAGCGCGCATGCACTGAGCGCGCATGCACTGAGCGCGCATGCACTGAGCGCGCATGCACTGAGCGCGCATGCACCGAGCGCGCATGCACTGAGCGCGCATGCACTGAGCGCGCATGCACTGAGCGCGCATGCACTGAGCGCGCATGCACTGAGCGCGCATGCACTGAGCGCGCATGCACTGAGCGCGCATGCACTGAGCGCGCATGCACCGAGCGCGCATGCACTGAGCGCGCACGGGCACAGCACTCACCGACGTGGCCGATGAAGACGAGGTTGAGGTGCTGGCGCTTGTCCTCCGACTCGGGGATCTCAAACTCCTCCTCCGCCTCCTCCTCCTCCACCACCACTGCTGCTGCCGCCGCTGATGCTGATGCCGCCGCTGATGCTGATGCCGCCGCTGCCGCTTCGGCCTTGGCGGATGCTGTTGATTCGTCTGCGGGCGGCGCTTCGTCCTTTTCGCCCTCATTGATGCTCACCGCTGCCACCGCCGCCGCTGCTGCGTCCACTGCGTGATGGGAAGGGCACAATGGTGTGTACGGGAATGGGGCGTGGTGAAAGGGGCGAAGGGAATGAGGTGCGTCGTCGTTATCGACCTTCTTAATGCCCACGGCTGCCACCGCTGCTGCTGCCGCGTCCACAGCATGCCGGGAGCGGTGGATGGGGTGTGACGACGGCGTGCGGGGAATGGGGCGCGGAGGAGGAAAGCCGCGTGAGAGAGCGGAACGGGGAAGGAGACGGAACGAAAGAAGAAAAAGGACAGGGCGAAAAAATGGAGAAAAAACGCGCGACGGAGCAGACAAGTATTCCATGTGGGAGCCTGCGGTTCGACAATGTTGGCGGCTAGTGCTAGGTACGTGACGTAACCGAGTGACAGACAGCACATTGCACCACCCAGGTTAGCCCAGCTCAGCCCAGCTTAGCACGTATCTCCGGTCCACGCCTCGCTCGCAACTACCTGCTCCGTCGCTTTCCGCTGGGGTTTCCGCTCCGCTCTCCACTTTCTCTTCCGCTTCCGCTTCCGCGGGCTTCTCCTCCTCCGCCGCGGGCGTAGCAGCGACTGCGACGGGCGGAGCAGGTTCCGCCGCTGCTGGAGCGGGGGCCGCAGCGGGTGCAGGAGCTCCGAGAACCTGGCGGAGATACGCGGGGGGGCGGAACAAAGACAAGGGGAGGCGGAAAGCGGCGGGCTAGTTGTGATCGCGGATCCGAGGAACGACACGGGGATATGAGTAGGACGGCAAAGGATCGTCTGTAACAGCCGATCAGATGCAGCTGTGAGACGGCGAAAGGTTCACGGCGAAGACGTGACGAATCGTGCAATCGCGAAATTAGGTTAGAGCGATCCTAGCGAAATTCTGCGAGGTGGTTACCATTACCTTTTGCACGGAGGGTCCGCCGAGGGATTTGGTGACCGCGGGACCGCCAAGGGTTTTCGAGACTGCAGGGCCAGACGACGCGGGACCGCCGAGGGTTTTAGTAACAGCCGGTCCTGACGGTTGCTGCTGCTGAGGCTGCGCCGGTTGCGCATACTGCTGCTGCTGGGGAGGCTGCGCGGCCGCTACGCCTCCGCCGCCTCGTCCCCCGCCGTATCCTCCGCCTCCCCGCCCTCCGCCACCTCCCCGTCCCCCCCTTCCCCCATACTGCTGCTGCTGCTGCTGCTGCTGCTGATATCCTCCTCCGCCGTACTGCTGCTGCTGATATCCACCGCCGTACTGCTGTTGGTTGTAACCGTAACCCCCTTGGTTGTAACCATAACCGCCTTGGTTGTAACCGTACGCCGCTTGCGGGTTGTAACCGTACCCGCCTTGGTTGTAACCGTACGCGCCAGGAGCACCACCGGGAGCAGGCTGGCCTCCGTAGTTAGGCACGAACGTGCCCGCCGTCGGGTTAAAAGCGAACGCCGCCGCGTTCACGTTGAGGGCTCCGCCGGCAGCGCCGGGCGGCGCGTTGTAATATCCGCCCGCGCCGCCTGGCGGCGGCGGCTGCTGCTGGCCCGCGATGTCCTCCCATGAATCGGGCTCCCCCATTGACTCCGCGAGCGACTACTCGTCGGTGGATTTAAGAACCGAGGTTAGGAGGTGAAGCGAAACCACGCAGCGAAGATCGTGCGATAGATGCTCCCTGGATCGGATGCGTCGGTTGCACAGACAGCCGACTTACAGCGCTGAGATTCCGTCCGTGTAACACCGTAAGGCACGGAGGATATTGGCAATGGTGAGCACGCAAGGTGAGGGAGTGGGGGAGGGGAAGTAATGTGGAAAGGTGAGAGGAGCGAGGGGGGGTGGGGGAAGGGGAAGACGGGGAAACGCGGAACTGAAAACAATGAAGGGCCTTGGAGGGATGGAAAGGGGCGGGATGGAATACTCCGCGATGAATTAAGGCGCAATTGGGTGGCGCTGGGTAGGAGGATCCAGAAGTTTGCAAAAAGCGCGCGTGCGCGGCGGGCCTGACACAATCGAGGGTGCTGCTTTGGGGTTCTGGCTGGACTGTTCAATGATTGACCGTATTTTGGAAATACTTGGTAGTTTATAATTAATATGTGCTAAATTCTTACCGAGGCACAGATTAACAAGGATATTCTAGCTCGTCTTGGCTCAAGCCTCGAGCAGGCAACAAGAGCTGTTCAGCCTTTTCTTGGACTTCACGCCTCATCTTAGCTCACCGATTTAGCTTGAATCCACTAGAACCGCTCGTGCTTGTCTTCCACTATGGCTTCCGCTGCCACTCAGCGCGCTGCACCTTACAGCGCAACCGGCGACGGCAACCGGCAGTCACAGGCGATAGAAATAGACGGCCAGCTGTCGCAAAACGCATTTTCGACATCGCACGAGCAGCAGTCGCAGCAGCAGGCGCGGCGGCAGTTCAAGGGTAGGAAGCGGACGTGGGTGGAGAACGCGATTTACCTGCTGCTGGGCTGCGTGGTTCTCTACCTCGGCGATGGCTCCGTGCACTTTCTAGACGTGCTCTTCCGCGACCCGCGCATCCGATGGTCTGTCAGAATCACGCGTCCAGTTATCAGTCAGTCCCTTCATCAGTCACGCGTTCGATTGTCAGCTGTATTTTGACGGAAAAACAGAACATCGTGTGGTGTATTTGCATTAGCTGATCGCTCGCTGATCAGATTGCGTGTCAACCTCTCATGGTCCATCACTTCATGACTGTTACCGTGGCCTCGTTTCTTTGTGGCGCATCGTCTTCTCATAGCGCGAATAGCCGTCCCATCGTCTTCCTCCTGCCACGTCGGCGGACCTGAAACACCCCTCGCTTGTGTCACATCCCACGCTCCTCGGCAGACAGGCTGCCGCTACAGGCGGCAGCAGCGTGCGCAGCGGTGAACATCGGCATCTACCTCTACGCCGCGGTCTTCCTGCGCCTCTTCCGCCGCGACACGCGCTCCTACCACCAGTCTGCGCCAGGCGCCGTGGCTGCGGCCACGGCTGTGGGACTCGCGGCTTACATCCTGTAAGTACCCTGCTTTGCTGATTCTCAGGAACCGTTTATGGAGAGCTTTCCAGGTCGTGTTGGTGGTGAGGGCCCATGGGATGAGCATGGAGGGGGCATGCCATGCAGGGCAGAAGGGCTGTTGCAGAAAGGGGAGAGATTTATTATGAGAACTCTCACCGATAGCATGCCATGCCAGTGCTCAAGTGTGAGGGTTGAGAACAGCGGTTTGAGTCTTTGGTGCCTTGCCTTGTTGCGTTGATCTCACCTTGTTGCATTCCATCTTGCCTTGATGCAGGTGCTCCATTGCCTTCTGGCCCGTCTGGGGCTTTCTCACCCTGCCCATTCTTGTAAGCCTGCAATCAGTGCCAATTGTATCCCTAGCACGCCCTTCCCTCCCACTCTTCACGCCTTCTGCTCTGTGCTTCTTGCCGAACCAGTTTGTCAATCCATCCTTGCTTTCTGCGTACCATATTGCCATGTCTTTTTCTCTGCTGGGCTGGCTGCACTGAGCAAATCCACTGGGTGCTTTCCCTGGTGCTCTGGTGTTTTCCCTGTTGTGGGTGGTTTTTAATACAGTGGGTACTATTCATGGTTTTTGCGATCATCACATCATACCTGCCACCGTTCAAAGTGCGCCAAGACTGATAGAAACAACTTCTCAGTGAATTAAAATATATTTGTTTCTTTGTCCTTCAAGAGCTATGTATGTTGCAAACGGAGCAATTGCAAGCCAATTTCCGCTGCAGAGCTTGCTCACTGGCATTCGGCTGTTTCAGAAACCATGCCTACCGTATCCCCCCGGATATACCCCCATGGGGGGCAATAATAAAACAGGTTTTTTCATGGGGGTGGGCTTATAATCGAGTAAATTTATAAGCGCCGGCGTTTATAAAATGACATACATATTTTTTTATATCTTTTAACACCAAACTGTAGGTCTCGTGCTTGCCTTTTCAATCGAGTCGAAGTTACATGGGATCGTCTGTGAAATTCTCGCGCGCGCTGGGAGATACACCCAATCTGACTCACATCCAGCTCCTGACAGGTCCTGCTGACTGGACCCGCATCCAGTGCAGGGTCCGAATGTGAAGGGAACCGATTCTGCAACATATCCGCCTGCTAAAGTAAAAATCGTTACAGCTTTTTGAACACATTTCAAATTTTAAAGTTTACGTGCGCTTATAATAAAACAAGTTTTTTCAAGGGGTGCGCTTATAATCGAGGAGGGGATATAAGCGCCATATGCCAATTAGAAGCGCCAGGCGCTTATCCTAGGGTGGCGCTTATATCCGGGGGGAGACGGTATATCCACTCACCACCAGGCTGGTTAATGCACTGACACCATAGTATGTACCCTATGTTGGGCTGAGAAAAAATAGCCCTTACGGTAGGATCTTCACAGGGGTGAACTCTGGGTATACTGATGAAGTAGCGAAAGCGTTTAATGAAGAGTTGTGAACCACCTTGCGCTAGTATGTGAGGGCAAAGTTGATTGATTAAGGCAAAGAGATACAAGATTGTATATGAATACAGGGAATATGAAAAGACACTGTTATGATTATACACTGTTGCTGTTGCGGTTCGATACAGTGACGACTCGGGCAACTGCTCTGTAACGAGTCAGTTGTGTGTCCTTGCTGTCGCGCTGTATTTGTCAGGTCAAAGGTCGCTGACCTTCGACTTTCGCGTAACCTCCGACAGTTACTTCAACCTCCGAGGGTTGACTCGTTGGTGCTTCGATAATGTCTTGCTTCGCTTGTGTCTTGGTGTTTCGACACGACAGAGGCGCTTAGTTTAATTGTTTCCAACACTCCCCTTCGCTTCTGGAGTGTCGCTGCTGGTGACGTGGCTCTGTCCAGTCAGCAGCATGCAGTACTCGAACTTCTGTTTCTCGAGCTTCTTGGTCAAGTAGTCAGCTGCCATCTCGGACGTGGGCCAGTATGACAGTTCGAGTCTCCCCTTCTCGATTTCGTCCTTCACGAAGAAGTATCGCAGGGCGATGTGTTTCGTCCTGTTCGCGAAGCCGTTCTTGTTGGCTATGCGAATGGCCGACTGGTTGTCGCATAACAGGGTAAAGTTTGGTAACTGGGCTAGCTTGGCTTCCTCCAGGCGTTCGCGAAGGTACAGTCCTTCCTTGGTGGCTGAGCAGAGTGCGATATATTCTGCTTCAGCTGAAGAGAGGGCGATTAATTCCTGTTTGCTCGACTGCCATGAGATAGGACCGATAGGCTCGAAGCGGTAGATGTAGCCGGTGCGGGAGCGCCTGTTGTCGGAGTCGCCGGCGTGATCGGCGTCGACGTAGCCGATTAATTTAGGCGCTGTAGCCGTGTTTTTATGGTAGGTCAGGCCAATTGTCGGGGTGCTGACGAGGTAGTGAAGAGCGCGGTCGAGCTCCGCCAGATGTTCCGCTTCAGGTTTCTTGAGGTAGGTGGCGAGTTGATTTGCAGAGTACGATAGGTCCGGGCGGCAGGTGGCAGCTGCGAAGAGGAGGCATCCCAGCTTCCTCTGGTAGTCGCGTATGCCGGCGGGCTTGAGTAGAGCGAAGCCTTCCTTGTGGTTTCCTGCCGTGTAGCGGTATGGCGTGGAGATGACGGTCGGCGTGAGTGCGAAACGCTTGGCGATGGTGTCGGCGTATTTCGCGGCACTGAGGTAGATTGCATTTTCTTCTTCCCGGATGTTGAGGCCGTGGTACTGTGTGACAGTGGACGAGACCGTTAGTGTGAGACCCCTTTGTAACTCCCCTTTGAACCAGGTAGTGACGCTGTCGGTTGAGCCGATATAGAGCAAATCGTCTACATAGACGATTAGCAGGATGTAGTCGGTTCCTTTTGTGAGTCGGTTCCTTTTGTGAGGCGGTACATGCCTTGGTCGTGAGGTAGCTGGCAGAATCCGATGCAAGTGAGTCTTGCGTGTAGGTACTGCTGCCACAGCCTTGGAGCTTGTTTGATACCGTAGAGTGACTTTAGCAGCTGACAGACTTGATTAGGTTCTCCGTTGGAGCTGTGCGGTAGCTCGACGAAGATTTCTGCATCGACGGGTGCGTAGAGGAAGGCGTTGGCGACGTCAATTTGTCGCAGCTTCCTTTTCTTCATGGCGGCGATCGCGAGAAGAATTCGCAGCGAGGTGTGTCGGCTGACTGGAGCGAATGTCTCGGTGAAATCGCGTCCGTGATCCTGGTCGAAGCCGCGTACGACCCAGCGTGCTTTGAACTTGTCGATGGTGCCGTTAGCCTTTGTCTTCACGCGGAAGACCCACTTTCCGGTGAGAATTGTCTTGTTCCGTGCTACGCCAATAGGAACGACTTTCCAGGTGTTGCGTTCCTCCAGTGCTTTCAGCTCCTTATCCATGGCTTCGCGCCATTTTTCCTTATGCTCCCCCCCTAGAGCCTGCTGAACTCTCGCAGGCTCTTTAGGAATGGCTGTCCTATGGACTGCGGTGACGAGACCGAGTATCTGGAGTCCACTCTGTGTGTAACGGGGAAGTGATGTGTCCGCAGGATAAGCTGCTTCGTCTCCCTCTTTTGGCGTAGGATTGAAGTTTGGTCCTACGCGTTCTGCTTTGTTGGAGTTGACTTGTGCAGGTGTAACGTAACCGTTGTCGGCGAAATGGTATTAGACTTCGGCGTTGATGCTTTCGCGTAGATTTTCGTCATCCATTGGAACGTCGACGGAGCAGTAGGGGAGAGGTCCGGCTTCTTACGAAGCTCCTTCCACGTTCTGCTCGTCCCAGTCAGCTTCGTCGTCTGCGGAGGCGAAGGCTCGGGTGCTAAGAAAACCATCGGAGCGATCGAGGTTTCCTTCTTGCAAGTTGGCGAGGTAATACCGGAGGGTGAGGTTTTCGTAGAAGATGACATCACGTGCTGCTACTGTTTCCTTTGTCTCGACGTCGAAAATCTTCCACGCGTTGTAATGTTTTTGGATGCCCAGATTTAGTCCCCACTGTGCGCGTTGGGAGAATCGTCCAGCTCGTGCAGATGGGGGCTGGTACTGTACCACGCAGCCGAAGACTCTCAACATTTTTGTGCTGCCCAGTTTTCCTGTCCACAGTAGATGCGGTGATGCGTTGTTCGGGAGCGATGATGACGAGAGAAAGTTGTGCAGCATGACGGCATGGTCCATTGCTTCGGGCCACTGGTGGTTGGGCAGGTGCATGCCATGTAGCAGCTTGCGCATGGTGTTCTTGAGGGTCCTGTTCATCCTTTCTGCTCCACCCTGCTGTTGATGGGCGTAGGGGAGAGAGATGAGTCGCTTGATTCCTCTCTCTGCCAAGTACTCCTTGAACCTTTGTGAGGTGTATTCTCCCCCTCCTTCTGACTGGAAGCTCTTGAGTTTTACTCCGGATTCTCGTTCTGCTACTGGAAGCCAGGCGACGAAGGCTTCGAAGGCCATGTCGCGGTTTGGGAGATTTAGGTGCCAGACGTATCGAGTGGCTACGTCGATAAAGGTGATGGTGTAATTGTACGCGTTTTGTCCAGGCTCGCGGTTGTACAGGATGTCGCTGTACACCTTCTCGAGTGGCGCGTAAGCTGGTGCGCTTGGGTTGTGGTGAGGCACGAACGGTTGCGGTAGGTCAGCTTTGGGACAGGTGAAGCATGTTCCACGGGCTCGCTGAAGTTCTCTGCCGTCAGTTAGGAGTAGAGAGTCTTTGTCGAGTACTCCTGTTCTTATCGTGTTATTTAACACTGTGTTGCTTGGGTGACCCATTCTTGCGTGCCAGGTTCCTTCGGTGGCGCGATGTCCGGGTGAGCGCCGATACATGTCGGAGTTGGAGTAGAAGCCGGCGGTGAAGTTGGCGCTTCGGTGGACTTCTCGTTGAGTCGGAGTTAGATGCTGCGCGGGTGTTGGTGATGTGTCGTCGGTGAAGATTGGTGTCGTTGAAGGACCAGCGATTGGTGTCGTTGTTGCCACTGCTGTTGCTGTCTCTGCTGCTGCCGATGTTGTCTCTGCTGCTGCCGGTGTTGTCTCTGCTGCTGCCGATTTTGTTTCTGCTCCTGCCGGTGTTATCTCTGCTGCTGCCGATGTCGTCTCTGCTGCTGCCGGTGTTGTCTCTGCTGATGTCGATGTCGTCTCTACTGCTGCCAAATGTTGAATTATCGCTAACGCTCTTGTTCTTTCTGCTTCACGAATGGTATGTGAATACCAGAAACCTTCTGGACTGAAGTCGGGGTCGAGGTCCGGTGGATGTGTCCAGGAGGTGAAGGCGACGATCCCGTCGCTGTCTGCGGTGCCGAGATATGGAACGAAGTCGAGGACGAAGACATTATTTTTCAGGACTGCCTTCCCGATGTAGAGACCGCCCTTCCCGTGGTACAGCTTGAACTCCTGGGTGGTGCTGTCTGCTTCGAGGTGGATACCTTTCGCCATCTGTTGACTAACGCTGAGTAAGTTGTAGTCGAGGCCTTCTGCTATTAAGGCCTTTGACATCTGAAGTATGACATTTGTTTCTCGTGACTAAACTTGAACCACTCCTTGTCGTCGTGTGCGCAGGTTTTGGTTGTTGGCGACGGTGATGACGACTTCGCGTTGGAGTTGATATTCCCGTTGAACAAAGCGATGGGAGGAGCACATATGTTGTCCACAGCAGCTATCCAGGAACCAAGTGTCCTTTCCGGACGGCTCACTTTGGGCGATACCTGTGTACGTCGG